TCACTATGACCAAAAAATCTCTGTTCTACTCTTATAGACAAATGTGACTGGAGAAGAAGTCGAAGAACAATAAGCGAGTGATCTGTAGAATATATCTGTTTATTATATAAACCATGGTTATATATATGAATAGTTTCATTATAAATTTGAGTAGAGATGAATATGCATTGAATGTGGACACATTGACACGATACCATGAAGGAAAGATGATGATAAAAGATACTCGAAGTTCTCACAAAAAAGACGAAATATTCCAATATCCATTTAGATATATGCATGAGAAATCTGAAAAAGGAAAAAATGGAAGGAGACACAACATTGTGATTAATTGTTTCAAATAAATTTTGTCACAACTCGGCAAAGTTAATTATTATGTAAGAAACAAGTATAACCAAAATGTAGGCGTGGGGCGGGCGGGGGTGGAGAAATACTGAAGCGGCCTGCTTGAGAATCAGGCTGCCATAATACATCCATCATTATACTGCACAGTTTGTTTCAATCTACTAACGTACGACTTCTAATGGTTACGTTCACTTTCGCGAGTATTTGAAATGTCGCCAACGTGCTGATTCACAGCGTTCTACTAAACTTGAGAAAAAGCATAATCGTGGGTGACAACTGACCGATAGCTGCTACCTTGACGTGGTGATCGGGCTTGCACATCGCGATGACCCAACAAGCTACAGTGGCTGGAATAAATGTTCCTGCAGGTCCTACCATGTCAAGAAGGTTGTTAGGATAGCGATTAGACTAAAAGCAGTTACAGGCATTGTATAAGAATCTTTCTTACACTATACTGGGGTTCTGTGGGCGAAGTCGTATTGCTGAGGAACAGGGGTGTAACGGAAGTGAGGTGTTTTCCTCAGACGACCAGCATGCCAGCTATGCTGTCTCTCCACTCCGGAGAGAGGGGGTTAGAAAATGTTGACTCCAGAAATTATAAATCCTGACTTACCCTACGGTGGTCCGTAACCAGCGGTAAGTTTACTAATACGGAATCAATCCCAGAAAACAGTTCATACGGGTGACAACGTATCTCAAATACGTGGAAGATAACTGGTCCCGGAGATTTTTAGTACAAAATACCACTGCCACAGAAATTATCATTAAGTCTCAAAAATGTAATCCTCAACTTTTTCAAAAATTGGCTTTCAACAAAATGTAGTGCATTTCTCGAAGTTAGATAAAGAAGAAGTATCATAATGTGTCAAATAATCTATCTACTTTTAGTCAATATCTTACATGAAAATCCTGGATGAAGAGAACGTGTTCTCCATAGTGCTAAATTCCACTGAAAACCTCTCTAATCCTCACTTATCTTTGTCTTCATCTTCATCTCTATTACCTTGCCTTCCTCCCACTGATGCAACTCCTCTACTTGATGGCTCCTCACTCTGTGTCCACTAAAAACGACGGAAGCCAAAAAACCACCACGATAGTCTCCTAAAGCCACGCCACCAATTTCATATAGGAGCATTTAATGTTAGGACACTTTGCCAAATAGGACAACAAGCATCACTAGCTAAGACCCTGGCATCTCGAGCCATTGATGTATGTTGTGTTTCAGAAACACGCATACAAGACCCAAGTGTGGTTATTCACCTAACCCCACCTGGCCAACAGGATGAATCTTCAAAATTCACCTTGAGGGTGTCAGGAGATGCCACAGCTAGTTCACGGGATTAGCTGGCGTAGGGATAGCTCTGAGTACTAGGGCAGAAAAGACATTGCTTGACTGGATCCCAGTAGATAGCCGAATGTGTGCTGTCCGTCTGAACGGATCAGTAAGAAGGAGAAAGGACTGCACTACTCGCCGATGCCTTTTCGTAATCTCCGCCTACGCCCCCACTGACTGCAGTTCGGATGAAACGAAGGATGAGTTCTACCAAAAGCTGTCTAGTTTGGTGAGAAAGGCTAAACGCTCAGATATAGTCGTTCTAGCTGGTGACTTTAATGCTCAAGTAGGGAAATTGTGTCAATCTGAGAAGGATGTCGGTGGCACCTATGGAGTTCCGTGCCAGCGAACCGACAACGGTGACCGTCTCCTACAGTTCTGTTCAGATAATCATTTGTTTCTTGTAAGCACTAACTTTAAACACAAGGAGAGACACTGTTTAACCTGGCGACCCCCATCATCAAACCAACGCTGGACACAAATAGACCACATAGCAATAAGCTATCGTTGGCGTGGGTCGGTAGGAGATTGTCGCTCCTTCTGGAACACGTGTGTAGATACCGATCACGCACTGGTCCGGGCTCGTGTGTGCTTACGACTGAACGGACGTAGGAAACAGCTGGCGGTAAAACCATCACGTCCCCAGCTCGATCAGGAAACTAAATCCCTATTTGAGGAAGAACTAGCTAAACGCATATCTGAATTCGACAGCTGTGCTCACCCTGGAGAAGCCTGGAAGAATATTCAGTCAGCTATAGATACAGCTGTAAAAGCTGTGAATAAGGCAAATCCAAAGGTGAGTAAAAACCACTGGATTTCGACTGCCTCATCCGAACTGATAGATGCTAGAAGACTTATTCCGGCGAGCTCCGAATTCAATGAGGAGCGAAAGCTGCACAAAAGGAAACTTACTAAAAGTCTCCGCAAGGACCGTGAACAGTGGTGGTGACAAAGGCGAAAGAGATGGAAAAAGCATTGGCGATAGGCAACACTAGGCAACTCTTTAGACTCATCACAGAAACGGGTGGGAGAAGGCAAATCATAAGTGAGACTATTTCTGAGAAAAATGGCTCCTTAATTAGCTCTCAGGATAGACGCCTTGAACGCTGGAAAGAACACTTTGAGGGACAATTTAACTTGCCTACAGCCACACTGAACCTCCCCGACATCCACACACCCGAATGGGATATAGACACTGGTCCGCCGTCTGTAAGTGAGGTCACAAAAGCTATCAGTAATTTGAAACGAGGCAAAGCGGCAGGACCCGACGGAATTATTCCGGAGGTGTTTAAATATGGGGGTGACATACTAGTTTGTAGATTAACTGAGGTACTAGGCAAAGTCTGGGAATCAGAGACAGTGCCATCAGACTGGGGTAAGTCACTTATTATACCGATATTCAAGAAGGGAAACAAGTCCTCGTGTGATAATCATAGGGGGATCAGCCTAACGAACATAGTCTCTAAAATCCTAGGCTCAGTAATCATGCATAGACTAAGCAGAACTCGGGAGGAACAGACAAGGGAAAATCAAGCAGGCTTTAGACCAGGTAGAGGGTGCATAGATCATATCTTCACTCTTCGACAGATTCTAGAACATAGACACACTTTTCGGCGTCCAACAATTGTCATATTTCTTGACTTGAAGGCGGCCTTCGACTCCGTGGATCGAAAGGTACTATGGCAATGTCTGACTGTGAAGGGAGTGCCAAGAAAGTACATTGCACTAATCAAGGCACTCTATTCAAACTCACGTAGTCGTGTAAGGGCTTATGGGGAATTGTCATCTGAATTGGTAACAACCAGTGGTGTCCGACAGGGATGTCCACTTTCCCCATTTCTGTTTAACTTCATCATAGATATGCTGATGGAAGTATCCTTAACTGAACGTAATGACTTAGGAATCGACTTGTTACCAGGGAATAGTCTTATGGACTTAGAATATGCAGATGACATAGTCCTGTTAGGGGAGGATGCTGACAAAATGCAGAGTCTTCTGAACACCTTGAGCAGCAATCTTCGTATGTTTGGCATGCGATTCGCCCCTACAAAATGTAAGATGCTGCTACAGGACTGGACCACGTCAACTCCTAACTTAGTGATAGGGAGTGAAGTGATAGAACATGTTGACCACTTCACCTATTTGGGAAGTTGTATTAGCACCAACGGACTGATTGGCGATGAAATCTCAGCACGGATCCGAAAAGCTCGAGCTGCTTTCGCTGACTTACACCATCTCTGGCGTAGGCGTGACATCCGGTTATCAACCAAGGGACGTGTGTACTGCTCATCAGTTCGCTCCGTCCTTCTCTATGGCTCTGAAACATGGCCAATACGCGTTGAAGACATGAAAAGGTTGACTGCTTTCGATCATAGATGTCTGCGATCTCTGTCTCACGTTAGGTGGTTTAACAAGGTAAGTAATGTTGACGTTAGGCGTAGAGTGTTGGGCAAAGAGGGAAAATCAATCGACGAGGCTATAAAGTTACATAGACTAAGATGGCTAGGTCACGTGCTGCGCATGCCTAACCACCGCCTCCCCCGACGGGCATTGCTAGCTGATATAGGTGCAGGTTGGAAAAGAGCCAGTGGTGGCCAAACAAAGATTTTGTCTGACTTGGAGCATCCACTTTACCTTGCATCCCTCAGGTAGAAAAGAAGTAACTTCAGAAAACTGGATGCTCGCACGTCTAAGTATAGAAATTCTATGATACCATACTTGTCACGTATTTTATCTGATGAAAATAATGTCAAGCAACAATTAACTAACCTTTTTTCATCTAGTAAATAAACGATTTCCTCCATCCATCCATCCTTATATACATACCTTCAAGTTTTACTTCTATTATATTTATGGTCCTGTTGCTTCTTTGTTTGTTTTACTTTCATAATTGGAAATACCAACTTATCTCTATGACTGCTGTAATCTTTGTTTTTCCCTCACCATATCATGCAAAAGAGAACATTATATTCAATACTTGTAAGCATGCTAGAATGTCAATCATCACCTTAGCTGTTATCATTATTATTATTTCCATAAAATATGCCGCATGTTTTTGACATTACCTCTGTTGTAAATGTGGAAAATTTTCTGTGTGATTAATTTTATTTATAATTTGAGGAAATTAGATGCAATATTGTGATTAATGCTGAAAATTCCATTCTGTATCCTAAGTACTGTTTTTGGAATAAAGTAAATCATTATTAATAAGTATAGTTCAATTCAAAAGGCAGACTAATAAGACGAAAGATGAGTGAGACTGGATTAAATAAGCTACTTATCTATGCTTCATTTTTAGTATTTGGAGAATAACATACACAACTAACTAACTAACCTTTAAAGGACGCTCAACGACAACAACATCAGAATCCGTATCCTCACTTTGTTGGTCCAAATCAGTTGTATACTTTTTCGACGGTTTCGTTTCACCTGACTGCGATGTATCCAAACGATCTTCAGCTGCTTGGACAGCTTCTTCAAAAAGGCTACGAAACTCCTCACTATGCTCAGTAAGCTTAAATCTAGCCGCAAATGTTTCACGCCTGCCTCCATTTAAATCGGTAGACTCAGTTTCAGTTGTTTGGCCGCCTTCTTCAGATTGTTCAGCATAGTCAATTGCCCACCAACTCCATGCACGACCACCTCCAGTATTCATTGGTTTCAATTGCATACCAACACCAACCACATGATTACAGCATACCTTTAAAACATGTTCACGACGCATTACACAACGGATGATACCTGTAATCGTGGAACGTAGTAATTTCAAATCTCCAACTCCCCGTTCATGCCAGGCATTATTATCCCAACGATAAAGTTTAGCACGACGACAAAATATCACCTCATCATTTTCTTCACCGGTAAAAACTTCAATTTTCTTAGGCATCACTTCAAGGACTGGTTTAAATGTTAACTTGGAATCGTCGACCAATTCCACTTTATCATCATCGTCATCATTATCAACATGACTATCGCCTTGAGCTGGAGTTGAAAAACTCGTCGACAACTTAGTAGTGGTAGACGTAGTAGTAGGAGTAGATGCATTCAACTTTGATAAAGCATTACCAAACGAAAAAGTGAATCCCGACTGACCACTGCCAACAGAAGTAGTTGATGCAATCGGTGGAAATATCGGTTTCTTATCACTGCTGGATGATACAGTAGTCGGCAGAGTAGACGGGAATACATTCACAAACGATGAAGAAGACGAAGTAGTGGTAGTAGTGGGAAGAGAATTACCGAAAATAAACGACAATGATCCTGGTGTTTGAGATGTTGTAGTCGGAAATAGATTTGTATTCTGTTTAGGCGAGGTGGCAACAAAACTGAACACAGGTTTAGGTGTTGCAGATCCTGTTGTTGTTGTTGTTGTTGTTATTGCTAGTGTTGCAGTGGTAGTTGTGGCACTGGAAACACTGGACTCTAAAGGCTTTGTCTGTCCAAATACAAATCCTCCGGTACTTTTCAAGAAACCGCCAAACAATGGTGTGGACAAAGTAGCTTTAGAAGTAGCGGTAGTGGTAGTACTGGTAGTAGTAGTAGTGGCAGTGGACTCACTTGAAGATCCAGGTTTAGGTGTTTTACAAGCAGAGCAAACAATAACAGAGGCGTCATGATATAGTAGGCAAGTAGGACACTCCCATGAACCTGATTTAGGAGCAAACTTTGAAAGCATTGAATCTACTTGTTTTGGAACCTGAGCATTGCTTTTGCTCTCTATTGTCGATGGCTTGGCTACAATAGGTGTCGATTGAATACCAGTCGTAGAAGATGGTTGGAATTTTACAGGAGTCACATTATGCTTAGAAGACTTGTCTTCAGCCTCAGATGCGGTGTTTGCAGGCACATAATTCTGATTGGTTTTAGCAGTACACTCAGAGAAGATGCGACTGAATTCACCAAGTATCTCAGATGATTTGAACTGAATCATGAAAAGTTCATCAATGCCTTCAAGCGATTCAGAATAATCTTTAGCTGCCCATATAGTCATTCTTGGATCTTTTGTAGAAGGAGATAACTTAGTAGATGAGGTAATATAATGATTTGCGCACAATTTCTTCACCTATAAATAACACAAATTCAAAAGGGAAAAAAGAGTTATCAATCGATAATTTACACGCTTAATAGAAATACTGCTAACAAATAGACTGCTTGACTGATTAACTAGCTTAAGATAAGCATCAGGGAAGCAAAATATAAACCTAACTGATAGAATTTAGTCTGAACCGAACAAAGCATTAGAAGCACTACGCTACTAGTTACTACTCAGCGTCAAATTAAAGTATCCGTTACAGTCCTACAGAAGGTCAACTATGAGCCCGAAAAGCTCAGTGGGAACATCACTGACTTCAAGTACAGGATGGTACGAATTCAAATCTCAGAAGAAATATCAGTTCCTTCAGTGCAATGCTAACAAACACGACACCCTACGGCTAAGGCTTCCTACCGACTCAACAACAATTCAAAGTGCATCATATGATGGCGAGCCAACTAGCATGGTGGCCACAATGCAAACTTCCCTGATCGACTTTAGTCTGCATATCAAACAAAGGACTAGATGCATAACACTTAGTTACTCACTACCTAGTGTTCAATCAGAGTATATAAACACACGATACACTATAACGAATTAGAAGTTGACTGGATGAAAAATGAATAAACAGCTTTAGGAGTCAATAGTCTTTCGATGCTGTCTATGCTACAAGCAAGTTACCTTATGCAGTTACACATGAGTTTATTCAATATAGCACACAAGTGTATATAGTATTAATAATTGGATAACTTTTTGAGCACAATTCATTGCTCATAATCGCACCTTAAAAAACTTCCTGTTTCCTTTCGAGCCATATCACCAATTGTCTCCAGCCACTGCTTCTTATTGCCCCGGGGACCCCAACCAGTGAGGAAGTCTACATCTTCCTACGTGGCTGAAACTAATTGTTGTGAACTTCATTGACTGGTGCCACGCTTCGGTTTGACCGCCACCAGCTCTTTTCCAGTCTGACCCTATGTCAGCTAACATTGCCCATCGAGGAAGGCGATGACTAGGCCACGCATGTGTAGCACATGTCCTAACCATCTCAATCAATGTAACTTCACAGCCTCGTCTACTGATTTCCCCTCCTTACCTAGCACTCGACCGAAGCCTAACACTGATATTGCTCACCTTATTATACCACTTCACACGGGAGATAGAACGCAGACACCTCTGATCAAAGATAGCTAGCCGGCCTTTTCATGTCTTCCACTTTCAATGGCCAGGTCTCACAGCCATCAGTTGAATAACCTAGACAGAAAGTACACCATTTCAATGCATCCACCGGAACATAATCAAACGATAGGATGGTTAGATGGAGAGAGAGAGGGGGGTTAACCCTGATTCTTCCATTCAATCACCACCAAATATGTTCAATCGAAATGATGCAATGCAGTATACCAGATACATGACCTCAAAAATTACGGTAAACAAATTTAAGTTCACAAAAAGAAACATTAGGACAATAATCTTTTGCATGCATACCTGATCACGTCTCATAACCAATCGACATTTTCCAGTATTTGTATTCTTTAAAATACGAATTTCACCAACACCACGTGTTTTCCAGCTTTCACTTTCCTTATCCCAACGATATAGACGAGCACGTTCACAAAACAAACGTTCATCATTTTCTTCACCAGTTTTTGAGTCAACAAGATCTGGTAAAGTTTCTAAAACTGGTTTAAAGTTAACAGCAGGTTCATAAGCTTCAGGAAATTCTTCTACATCTTCATAGTGTGATTTTGGAGATGAAATGACAGTAGAGATTTTCTGCTGCTGCTGCTGCTGCTGTTGGTGGTGGTGCTGTTCGTGTACGGTTACTTTGAACAATAAGAAAGAGAAATTATCAATAGAATCTCTATGGAAATAAGCAAACTACTGTAAATTATGTTTTTTTTATTCCTTCATGTTCCCAGTGGAACAAAGGGCTTCAAGCTAGAGGTTTGAAGTTTCTATAGCAGTGTTTTTATTTACACAGGATGGGGTTGGTAGCCTCCTACCCAACCTTTCCCCTCTACCTGCTTTATTTCCACCTCAGCGAGGTAAAGGAGTGAGTCGGTGGCCGGGGGATCGAACCCCGGACCAAGTACATGGTCGGTGGGCGTCTTAACTGCTGTGCCACCGACGCACAATATAAGTTATGCATATGCAAAATTTATAACGCTTTGAAGAGTACTCAATAGAAGTGAGACATTTACTTTGTAACACTTCGGAAAATGATTTAACAGGTACACAGAACAACCAATATGTATACTGATATATAATAAGTTTAATTGATCTAGCTTTAAAGTGTTATTTAACCAGTGTGTTCATTAGGAAACTTCAAGTTCTCATGCAACCCTTTATGTAACTGTGATCACTTGATTTTTGCATATGAGTGTTGTAATTATATACATATTATACACCTAATAGTAGTGAATTGTCACTTGTTAAATATGTACTTTATTGTTTAGTGTGATTGATATATAGACGTTGTAAAAGACATACGCACTCACGTGAGAAGAAATACTCAGTGAGAGATGACTGAAAGTCTCAATGAATGTGAATAGCAAGATCCGATGCCTCTTTGCCTATTGATGACAGGGTTGTTTGAAAACCAATGGTCCCGTGACTAATCTCATACGTAGTGCTTTCCTGAAATCGGAAGTGTGTAGATACATCAATCTTAAGTCACAGAATGCATCTAAGAATATAATTAGAGTGCAAAAATCTGCCCCTTAGGATGATTCACTATCTTCATCATAAATCTATGAGTAAAACCCTTATAAAAGTAATAACTGTACCAATAGTTTTGAGATTTTACATGACTGAAATATCGTCACTTTTGAGTCAGATCCTTACAGGTGTGAATCACAACAATGATTTTCTTCTGACGTTAAGAACAGAACGTAGAGAAAACTTGGATTATTATTTTCTTTTGTAGCATAAAGTCTATTTTCCTGTAATCAGTCAAAAGTAGGTCGTACAAACCAACAATTGTCTTAATTGCTGGATTTATTTGGAAGGAAGCCCAGTCTGACCTAGGTTATGTGCTTCTTAGCACTCACGAGTTAGCAAGGTGTACCTGCAAACTTAAAGAAATTCACGTCCCCGGTGCTGCAGTCAGAGACGTTACCGTCACAGAGGACTATACGTATGACACTAGTTAACTTACTATCTAATATTCAGTCGACGTAGGAAATTGAAAGACCAAATACTTCAGCGGTAACGTCTGTGACTTCAGCTTAGGGAAACACGGGTTCGAATCTCAAAGGGGATATCAGTTCCTTCAAGGATGTAGAAATCCCTTGTTGACTGGTGAGTGCTAACAACAACGAAACCTAGGCGCAAGGCCTCCCGCCGATGGGACCATAACAACAATTCACAGTGCATTGCGATGGCGAGCCACCTAGTGGAATGGTGGCCACACTGCGAACTTGACTGATAGAATTCAGTCTGCGCCAAATAAAGGACTCGGCGAATGACACTAGTTGCTTACTACCCAGTGTTAAATTAGAGGGTAGATTTTATTGTTCCATTCTTACTTTCAACCATGTCCTTTCTTTTTTTTATGAGAGTTCGTTGTTTTTTTTTTCATTCATCAGTCAGTGTGACGACTAGAAGTCATTCGTCGGTAGTGGTTTTCGTTTGTTCTGCTGAGCTGACACTCAATGAACTACGGATTTTAAGTCAGCTCTAACTAAGGTAGTTAAGGTAGTAGCCAGGTAGCTCTATATCTATATGCGATGGGTATAAGTAAGTGCCAAGTGCATGAAATAGACACGAGATTGTTTCATGAACCAATTTTTCTTTGAAATTCCAGACCTACTGTTTAGTCAAAAATTATGTCGCTTAATCATTTTCTCTTATTATGCACTTTGAATGTAGAAAAGCCACTGAACTCCCTAAGTGATAAGATAAATATGCTTCCGTGAAATTATAGTGAAAACTTGCTCCAAACAACCAAACACAGAGTCAAACCCAATAACAGAAATGGTACTATAAAGAATATTAGTTAGCTAGTTAATTAGTTATTCCTCAATTGCCCAGTAGTCGGCTATGAGCCACATTGATTGTCTGAGGGTTAATGATACTACCCAGTTGCTTAGGCTGAAGTAGGTGGAATAGGACTCGAACCAGGGACTCAGTGATTGAAAGTCGAGTGCTGAAGCTTATGAATCACATCTCCACGAATGATGAAGAATGAGAAATAATTCGTAAATCCCTACAAATTTGAATATACATAACGAATAGAGAAGATTAATAATCCAGAGTTCCTTTCATCAGATGTTCCCAATCGAAATACTTCTTATGTTCGTTCTTCAGAAACGCAGGAGGTCCAAAGAAAGAAAAAATCCTTAGGTTGCATGTAGCTAGTACGCTGTTCACCCGAAGTCATTGTTCTTACATCCTTCAAAACAGAACACGGCACTACATAGTCATTCTCTTACTGGTGAAAATAATTACAGAAACAGCTATGTAGAACCTAATGGAATGAATGAGGTCGTTTTACACATAGAGAAAAAATTACTACCCCCTAATCTAATGGTGTTATTATCTCGACGCCCTCATGTTGTTAATGAATGTGAAGCAAAAATAAAATAAATTAAAAAAGGCATATATACCACGATTATTTGATTGTATTGGTGTTTCAGAACGACATGGTGATTGATGCTGACCAAATGATTGTGTACGAGTTGGTGGTGATAAGCGTGCATTCACAGCAGCACAAGCAGCTGCTGCCATACCTTCTGGAAGCCAGTGTCGAAGTTCACTGATAGCCTTTGAAAGTTCTTGAGCAGGCGTTTCAAGCAAAGCATTCGATGCAGACGGTACAGGGATGATGTTGGCTGACTTTGCAGTAGCAATTTGACTGGTATTTTGAAATTCAATAAATTTGTTAACAGCATCTGATAATTGCTTGCTAGTTTCACTTAATTGCTTTGACAACTGTTCATTGAGTTCTCGACTACGCGTAAGCTCTAACTTGGTCTCAGCTAGCTGACATGACAGACCACTGACTAGGGTCTGCCAAACACTGATCAGATTTGACAAGCAGGTATCCTGGACAAAGGAGGAGGAAAGATAAACAACAACGAAAATGTTAAATATATCAACACACACACACAGACAGCTGGAGTTGTTAGGCATCAAGCAAATCAATCAGCATACTGACAGAGAAAAAAACAACAGTTTTTTTGTGTATATAATCATTAATTATTACGCAGAAAAACAATAATGGTACAGCTAAGGGATTACATAAAAAGAGGAATAATTTCCATGTACTGTGAATACAATGAATCGATATGATTATCTCATGAGGTAGGGGGGGAAAAGTATCTACCTGACGACAAGCTGAAGTAGCAGATTGATCACCAGCACCAGTATGCGATATCTGTACGCCAGCAGTACTTTGCAATGTATCATAAAATTTAACCAATGAACAAGTAAGAGTCGGTACGTTGTGATGAGTAGAACTTGGTGGAGGTTTAGATGGAGAACAGATGGGAGTATTGATTGATGATGGTGGCTGGGAGGGACGTGGAGAACTCGTCATTGGTGTATTTTCTGTATTAGACGGTTGTTCAAAAATGTTGCTTGATCTCTTGTCGTTCACAACATTCAAACGTGAGACAGTATCGTCAGTGTTTGTTTTGACTGAAGGCGAAAAAACTGTTTGTGATTCTTGTGTAATCTGCATAAAAGAAAATGCACACGTATACATAAACTACGGTTAAACTCAAATATAACTATGAAGATGCTATTTAGAATGCTTAAACACTGACTGATTGACTGGTTTCAATGTAGAACTTTGGACAGATGTGCAGCAGTTCGAGTTGCCGCACTCCCTTCATGTACCACACAAAGTAAGAAAAGAGAGCAAGGAAAGATTTCAAAGAAAGATAACAAACAGAAAAATGTGGCAAAAAGATTAGTAATATGAAAGAACAATGGAATTTCATTGGAGACCTTATATAACAAGGATTGGATGCATCTGAGACAGCCTTCGAAAGTGATTCCGAGCCATATCATCAATTGTCTCCAGCCAGTGATTCTTACTATCCCGAGGACCTCAGCAAGGAAGTCTACATCTCCTTGAGTCGCTTAAACCAACTGCTATGGATTTCATTGACTGATGAAGTCATGTTTCGGATTCATCATGCATGCATACGAAACGTATGCCCTAACAATCTCAAATCGATGCAGCTACTTTACAACCTCGTCGATTGATTTCCCCTCTTGACCTAGCACTCGATCGAAGCCTAACCTCAATATTCCTCACCTTTTTACACCACTTCACACGGGAGATAGAGAGCAGACACCTATGATCAAAGATAGCTAGCTTTAATTAGGTTTAACAGCTAGCCAACCTTTGTATGTCTTCCACTCTCAGTGGCCAGGTCTCACAACCATAAAGGAGGACGGAGCGGACTGATGAGCAGTACACCCGCCCTTTGGTCGATAGTCGAACATCTCGTCTACGCCAGAGTCGGCGTAAACTAACAAATGCGAAACGAGCCCCTTGTATTCGTGCTGAGATTTCGTCAGAGATCAGCCCGTTGGGGCTGATGGTACTTCCCAAATAAGTGAAGCGGTCAACGTGCTCTACCACTTCACTTCCTATTTTTAAACTAGGCGTCGATGTAGTCCAGTCCTGTAACATCATCTTGCATTTGGCGGGAGCGAATCGCATGCCAAACATTCGTAGATTGCGGCTCAAGGTGTTTAGAAGGATCTGCATTTCGTCAGCGTCTTCGCCTAGAAGGACTATATCGTCTGCATATTCCAAGTCAACGAGATTATTCCCTGGTAGCAAGTCAATCCCTGAGTCGCTGAAGTCACCTAGGGTTAAGTCCATTAACACATCTATGATGGAGTTGAATAGAAAAGGGATAATGGGCATCCTTGACGGACACCACTGGTCGTCACCAGTTCAGATGACAACTCGCCGTAAGCCCTCACCTGGCTGTATGAGTACGAGTAGAGTGCCTTAATCAGTGCAATATATTTTCTCGGAATTCCCTTTACAGCCAAGCATCTCCAGAGAACCTCTCGGTCGACAGAGTCGAATCCCGCCTTTAGGTCAAGAAATATAATGATTGTTGGACGCCGGTAGGAATGCCTATGTTCTAGAATCTGTCGGAGAGTGAAGATATGATCAATACACCCTCTTCCTGGTCTAAAGCTTGCCTGGCTTTCTCGTGTTTGTGCCTCCCGAGTACCACTTAGTCTACGCATGATTACTGTGCCTAAGACTTTAGATACTATATTAGTCAAGCTAATCCCTCTGTGATTATCACAGGAAGACTTGTCTCCCTTCTTGTATATCGGGATAATCAGTGACTTACACCAACCCGATGGGACTTCTTCTGATTCCCAGACGCTGCCTAGTACCTCAGTTAATCCAGACAGTAAACTGTCTTCACCGTACTTAAATACCTCTGGAGTCATTCCATCAGGTCCTGCTGCTCTGCCTAGTTTCAGATTGGTGACAGCTTTAGTAACCTCAGTTAGGGATGGAGGACCTGTGTCTATATCCCATTCAGGGAGGTGTTGGATGTTCGGCAGGTTGAGCGAAGGACCTCCCGATTACAAAGCAAGCTTGTATACCACCTATCCACTGGTCCATGAATTCCAACCATAGCCTATTTACGACATATATAGCGCAACCAACAGTCAGCGTCCTCTTACCTGACTTGGTGGACTTTTCACTGAACCTTCAGGAAAGTAACTTTCTGTATAGAGGGTTAAGTTTTCTGTGACTGACAGTCACCTGTAATAGATACTCATTTGAACCAGTCAAACACTCACAAGCCTCACAATATACTAATACTAATCACAAATGTTTTATATAAGACTCTATTAGATACGAACTTACAATCTAATGAAAAAATGTGCAATAAATAAATGTACAGTAACAATTCACTCACAGAATTACTGAGATCTATGGGGACAGAAATATTGCTGCCAGATGTTTTCACGAACGAACCAGGCTTTGACGACTGCGACTCAAGACCACTGAAGTCTTGATTGTTATCGAATATTGAACTCGCTTTCGCGAAATCGGCTTTAAGATTGTTTATTCCATGCGACTTTGACTTGAGAATCAGACTATTCAATAATCTGTTACCGCATGAACGAGTTGCTTCATTACAAATCGATGAATCATACTCACATAAACGTATAAGTGATCGCAGTAAACTCTCATCTATTGTATCCAAATTGTCGGCTGTTTTAGACCGACTTTCAAGCTTATCAAAACACCAAAGCCAACCAGTATTGCACCAATGTCTAGACAAGGATACAACAGAGGCTGAATCGTTGAAAACACCACGCCAACCATTGTAACTTGATGGTAATACAAATAAGATATGTGAACCGGTAAGCTCTGACTTGAAGGCTGTGTTATAATCCGATTTCTCAAAGGACTGGTAATTGAAAAAAAATGATGAAGGCAACAAAAAGCCAAAATATGTCAGTTAAACAGAATGTAGGATAGACTGAAAGCATGAAACGAGAATCCCTCAAATTTTTGAAAAATCTGGAAGACGGGTTTTAAAAATTCAATTACACAAATGTGATAATAAAATTTGTTTTTCCTAGTATTACATCAAGTATACAGCAAGGAGACACCGACAGGTGTGGGTTGGGAAAACTGAGCACAGTTTGCCGACGGACTTGTTTAACACACTCGACTGACAGGATTCAGTCCGTACCAAACAAAGGACTAGACGCGTGACACCAGTTACTACCCAGTGTCCAATCAAAGAACCTAACACAGTCCAACAGGAGGTTGTTCGCAAGCCTGAACAGCTCAGTGGTAACGTCTCTGACTGTACCACTGGATGACACTCCTTCGAATCTCAGAAGGGATATGAGTTTCTTCACAGTTGCAGATACGCCTAGGTGACTGACTAGTGAATATATGAATTGTCTCCAACCATCTAGTAATGACAATTCAGATTGCACTAGGATGGCGAGCCGCCCAGTGGAATGGTGGCCACACTGTAAACTTGACTGAAGGAATTTAATCCACATTGACCAAAGGACTAGACGCATGACATCAATTACTACCCAGTGTCTAATCAGAGTACACCTAAACTCTATACATGAGTTAAGACTCTAACGTAAGAGCGTAATGTGAGCTAACTGGTCGACTGAGTCTCAGTGTAAAACTTCTTATACAAGTGCAACAATTTAAGCTGCCACACCCTATGCAGCACCATACAAAGGCTGAGAAAAGAAAAAAATTCAAAAGAACTATGAGGAGCATAAATGTACGGGAGAAAGAACAGTACCATGGAAAAATGAAGACTTAATTGACCTGAGCGATTACAAAGAGTGATTGCATATGCATCACAGAACGGTTAAGTAATGCAAAGGAAAACTCAGCTCCCGGAACAGGTTCTTTTTTATGTTTCAAGCTATGAGTCACACATCACTGTGTAAGGGGAGATGATACTACCCAGTTACCCAGGCTGAAGTAGGTGGAACGGGATTCGAACCAAGACCCACTGGTTAAGAAGCCAAGTGCTTAAGCCAATGTCCCACGTCTTCACTGCGCTATGTAATGTAAGCGATGAAAATATACAATTTAACGACTATCGATGACATCAAAACTAGTGTTCTACAACATTTCCTAAGATTACCACTGATTAAATGAAAAGGCTAGTCATTCTAAACAATGATAGGCGGCACTTTTAGTAAAATACGTAACAATTGATTGACCATAATGATTCACTGACAGACTCTTAGTTCTTCATATCTCTCTAAAAACATTGCCACTTAACATTTGTCTCATCCAATGTCAAAGAAAAAACTGCAATTGCATTCATTATAAGAAAAGGAGAATACATGCTAATGAAACACACCTGAGACAATTGCTGACACCAGAATTTGTATAACCTGAACAAAAAGACCCACTGAGCGATTGAAGCACAGATGTTCTTGGTTCATTTGAAGGACCCAAAATATGATTCTTGAGAGCTGCTTCCCAGTAGTGTAATGGCCATATTTCAATGTTCTCCATTTTCTTAGGTGAACATCGAGGTACAATGTGAGTGAGAGCCTGAGCCACACGGAATAGTAGAGGTGGATTCATAATACCCTTTCCACCATTTAAACAGCTCGTTGGATGAAATACAAGTCGAAGTTGGTTTAAACCGCATCGTAACAAGCACGGTCACTGTCATTTATTGTGCCGCTGAACAAGTAAATAAAATATTAGTATTATTACTATTATTACATAGAAGTGAGACAACAAACATATAATGAAGAGTAATAGTTTCTAAGTCAACCGGTATACCCTTGAAATAATGAATCACAGAATGATATTTAAACCAGCCAACAATCAGTTTTATGAAACCCTTGTAGCTCAGGAACCCCTTAATTTCCGTGTACTAAAGCATAGGTTACTCCTACGGTTTAGAATAGCACAGATAACACCAGGCCATCGAAGAAACAGTCTATGGAACTGACTAGTTTCATATGTATGTTAATTCACCCACTTACGTTCACTCAGGTAGGTGGGTTGTCTCATGAGTGTATTTTTCGAAAAGGGGTTCGAAAAGATTACACTATGTTGGGGAAAGATGCCAGAGGATTTGTTGGAAGTGTGGCGGTTGAACACTTCACACTGACAGTAGTTACAGAATCACAACTAATTCGATGTCCGAAATAGTTTAAAAATTCAACTTATTCGTACTTTGATGCGAAATTTAAGAATACAAATTTTATGCACAAAAGATTAACGTACCGCGAGCCAGACTCGATTACTTGCTTGATAAATGCAGACCACCATGCACGTTGGGTGGAAGTGGACAGTTGTGCAGCGGGAATCAGACACAAAGGTAGGAAAAGAATATCTAACCCAATACCTGATGTTTCAGGTTTAACTATTAAATGCGAGCATAGAGATTTGGAATATTTTGACTCAGGTTTAGAAAGACTTCTGATAGACATGTGAAGAAGGCAGGTAATCAAAAAATTGATAATATCAATTTGACAAAGTTGATCTATACTTGTGTTTGGAATAGACTGACCCTCAATAGTTGATCCAAAAACAGGTGATGAACAATAGGAATCCAACTTTGGGAAAAGTTTTGTCACCACTGGGAAAATTTTTAAAAACAAATATCAATAAAAATTTACGGGGAGGAACCATTAATTTGTGTTGTAAGAGTAGACTGATAAATTGTATTTAACACAGTAATGTGATTAAAGAATTTCCTCCCATTCACCACCCCCACTGTTAGTTGTATTCTTAGAACCAACAACCAACCACACATCTGTATCACAGATGATAAGATTTCTGGAAACAATAGATCCAAAAAGCCGAGTGATAACTAGATTCCTGCCTTTTCTCTTCTCACACGTACATAACAAGATCTGAAAAATAGAACATACTTGAAACTGATGTACGGTTGTACTATCGTGTATTTTTTTATTGCACAGTTGTATTACAGCCTTATAGAACTGAAAAAGTGGTCTACTTAGAACTCAGTGAGAACTAATATCTTTTAACTGTCAAGTAAACTAAAACTGAAGCCCCGCTAAAGAAATTGTTAGATGAAATGTATATTTCATAATTTTATCCAAAAACTGGATTATAGACATTGAGAAATATGCCATATAGAGAAATATGACGCAAGGTAAACAAACGCAACTCAGAAAAGCAAGAAGGAATAAAAGTCTGATCAAACAGACATCTTCATGAAATGTTATTCGAAAAAGCACCCATTATTTTCTCCAGGAGTTAGTGTGCAGGGATTCGGTTCGCTTCATATTTGACCATGGATTGATATCAGGTAGAGACTAATTGAAAATCAACAGGAAGTACTGGTCTGCTGTTTAGCCCTAGTTTGGGACTCATCAGCACTGCGCACACACCTTCTGAGTTCCAACCCAGGGACTTCTGGTTACAAGTCAAGCTCGTAGACCATTCAGCCGCTGCGACCCAGCTCAATGGTCAGCCCATGAATTTTTACTCCCACCAATTTGTTTTTTTTAGCGAGACTGGCACAAGACAAAGTCATCGGCGAATATTTTGAATTCCCATCCGACTGTATGGACTCCACTGGTCACAACTTTTCACTAGAACTCTAGACAACTTCCCCCAGTAGCCAATCACTAGCCCTATGTTCAACAGGATGGGCAAGAGTTTCAGCAAGGTTGTCACTAAACTCTATTGTTATTCATTTCTGAGAAACATTTTGCGATACTGAAACAGCATGATTCACCGGACGTTAATCTTTGGTCACTTAAAGGATATAACATAGTGACAAACATTTTCTAGCCAGCTGATCATGAGTGAATTGCGTAAACAACAAGATCAAACAACACTTTTCATCACAGACTGTTTTACTCGTGAGAAATATTAATACCGATATATAGTACCGAATATTGAAAATTAATATCACCATACTAACAGGGAATAAAAACAGTCTGTACTGCACAACAACGCATAACAAATACGTCAGTGAAATACCTTCTTGTATGAAACGCTCAAGAAGTTGGAAGCAGTCTGGAAAAGAAAAGCCCATAAACTTACATTTGTAGACGAAATCTAATCTAGGAATACTCAGAGTAAAGTCCTCGAGGGTTGAATTCTCAGTTGGAAGTTGTTGAGCACAAATCCACATTATTAGATTCAAACAATCAGCTGAGGATAAATAATCTAAAAAAGAAGATAAGGTGTTTAAATATTTTCACCGAATCACTCAATTGAACTGGAATTAATTAGTGTCCACGGTGAGCCGCAACAGAAGGATAAGTAATGAAATATATCACATAAAATACAAATATAAGGTTAAAACATCAAGGACAGACTATAACTAATGCATATGAGAAAAAATTTGAATATATTAGTCATTAAGGACGAGGAAAGCAGAATGCTCGACAACCACCCACGTAGTTCGCAGTTCGATCACCGCTGACGCACTCCTAAACCTCGCTAAGGCCGGTAAAGAGGGAAGAAGGCTACCAATCCCATCCCGTGAAAACAAACCTACTGCTACCGAAACTTCGAAACCCCAGTTTGAAGCCCCACGTTTCACTCGGGACGTAAATAAATACGCGGTAAAATTCAATACTTGATGCTATGTGAAGACCTAAGAGTGCATATTCCTGATATCCATATTAGTTGACACTAAGAAACAAAACTATTCATATCATATTATAATAACACTGACTGAAAACACCAAATTATTTCACCCTGACATGAATATACTATTGGTTTCACACCTCTGTTCAGTTTGTAACTTTCGTAATTCTAGAATATTCCTTTTATAGTTTCTATACCTACTAACGAGCTAAACAGTGAATTTACTCTGCTCTATGACGCGAATTAATCAAATGACATTAATATCCTTCCTTTTTATGATCAATAACTGAAGTATTTGAATACTTTGCATATTGATATTAAAATGAATCATGGTTGACTGCTGCTCAATGCATTCTTCTTGCTTTGTTCCAGCGTATCAAGGGGAATAACTGCATGAATTTACTAATAAATATTCCATTTGCCACCGACATCCAGGCTGTTAGCTACACTTATTGTACTAAGGCTGACGATACTAACCAGGTGGAGCTAGACTCAAACCCACTGAGTGTAAGTAATCTAGGTTGCTTAAGCCACTAAAGCCACATCTCCACTATTAATCTTAATCAGAAGAAAGAAAACCTTCAGGTTCTAGTTAAATCCACGTTTGAAACGGCAACTCCAACTGCTGCACATCTGTGCAAAGTCCTGTTGAAATTAGTTAGTCGGTTAGTTGAAACGGTAAGACATCGTAACATGTCACCAAAGACTGACAATAGAGAGACAAACGTAAAATGTAAAAAGAGCTGGGTAATTGACTAGACAATAATTACATGTGAAATCCGGTTAACAGATGTTTTGCAGAAAAAATACTACTATTTAACTTGCAGTGATTAATCTTTCCCAAGCTTCATCGAATCCGCTGTAATCACCTAGTATCATGTCATGTGATACTCAGAGCAAAAGAACACAAAATCAAAAAAAGATAGCTTCTTTGTTTGAAAAGGTTCTTCATATTGCTACCGTACTGTAATGAATAATGTCTTTAAATGCACTGACTACACTAAATGAGAAACACATGATGATGTAAGATGAATTTTTCAAATAACGTTAGTTACGACAACAAAGCGCAAGATATTACTTAAAATAAGCAATGATTTTAACAGCACGTATTTGAAGCTCACCCAGAATAAAATTCTTCGCATCAAAGATGTCAAAAGTGTAGCTTTTATCTGCGTTAAAATCAAACGTATGGGATTTGATGCTATCAGGTACTGGACCGCCATCAGCCCAATCCATCAGCTGTTTCCACGCTAATAACTGAAAGTTGACAGTTTGATATTGTTCAGATCTCATATTGTTCCGAAAGGATGTTAACAACTGCACTAAATGACCTGCCTGAATGCGAAGTGAGAAACTCTCCCGATAAAGATGAGACCATACTAAGGCAGAAAGATTTGAAGACCCATGGAAAATCTGAGGCTGTTGGTTGATAACTACGCGTTTGTAAAACTGATATACCAGGGAGTACTGGGAGTTATCTAAAGTCTTGAGAAAAACACAAGTGAAATATATGTTAACCATGAGCTTACAACACTTCATAATACAAAACATTTAAGTTGAAGAATGTCAGTGATATTGGAAAGACGGGAGTTACTTCAGTTCCGATGAGACATCTATAAATATAACTTTCTACATGTCTACTTTTCATTCGGCGCCCAACAAGATACACTACATTTGATAACCACATGCATATAACAAATGAAGAAGCTACCATAAAATCTAATAACTTACTCAAAAGAGTGCCAAACTAGAGGGAAACACAAACCGATAATGATAACATCCTCAGCCACTCAATTGGAAAATCTGGCGACATATGAGTAAGGATAACAAGGACAGATCTGTGACTTACTGACTCAAAAAAGCGAAATATTGTTGATGTGTATATATTTTTCAGTTAAATCAAACCTCGCTACAAGGTCTTCTATGCCAGAAAAGGCATTTTCAAACTCGACTACATTTGAAGAACCGATATCCATGTTAAACGATGAGTAACTGTCACAGTTTCAGACTGACTGCATCAATCAGTATTTCAGGTCAACATTTATAAAAGTATGAGATCTACCTATATGGGAAAACACTCCACTTGTCATGACTTTATTGAGAACTGTTTCCCCTTTAATCCTAGTTATGACAAGTGATATTCAGTGCTTACGACTTCTCATACTCCTACATGAAACTACAAATAAATCTGTCTGTCTGTCTGGATTCAACATAGAACTTGGCACCGAAGTGCAGCAGTTCGAGTTGCCACGTTCCAAATAGCACACAGAGGTAGACAAGAAGATGAGTACAGAGAATCAATAGAGTTTGACAAATATAAGAGTGAAACAGAATGGGTAATTGTAGAAAGGAATATGAAAGATTACAGAGACTGAATACATCTGCGCCACTGACAACGATTTTGAGCCATGTCACCTACTGTCTCCAGCCATTGATTCCTAGAGTCCCGAGGGCCCCAACCCGGGAGTCTGCATCTCCTCCCTACCTGACTCACTTTAACTGTCAAGGATTTCATGGATTGATGCCATGTTTTTGTTTGGCCACCACTGGCTCTTTTCCAACCTTCACCTATGTCAGCTAGCAATGCCCGTCGGGGGAGGCGGTGGTTAGGCATGCGCAGCACGTGACCTAGCCATCTCAATCTATGTAACTTTATAGCCTCGTCGATTGATTTTCCCTCTTTGCCCAACACTCTACGCCTAACGTCAACATTACTTACCTTATTAAACCACCTAACGTGAGACAGGGATCGCAGACATCTATGATCGAAAGCAGTCAACCTTTTCATGTCTTCAACTCGTATTGGCCATGTTTCAGAGCCATAGAGAAGGACGGAGCGAACTGATGAGCAGTACACACGTCCCTTGGTTGATAACCGGATGTCACGCCTACGCCAGAGATGGTGTAAGTCAGCGAAAGCAGCTCGAGCTTTTCGGATTCTTGCTGTGATTTCATCGCCAATCAGTCCGTTGGTGCTAATACAACTTCCCAAGTAGGTGAAGTGGTCAGGGTTTAATGGATTGGTAAACAATTCAGAAACTTTTCTTTTTTCATGCACAAGTGATATTAGGAAAAGTGTTAAATCTTGATTATTCATTATCAATGACACACATAATGAAAAAACATAGTAATCGTAGGTATACCTAAAAAACAAACTGAAAAGAAAACATTCAAAACACTAACCTCAGCAGATGAATCTAGCAGACGACGCTGCACATATACGCCACCATAAAAATCAAGCCACACTACAGTGTACTTGTATAGAGCATTTAAAACCCCAGACTGAGATTTACTGAGTTCATGAGATATGACTTCCAATTTGGCAAGAAGACCACGTAGGTCAGATAGACATGAAGTTTGAGATGTGACGCGAATCAACTCCATCAAACACACTGCACGAACCGAGGACAAAGACTGTCCAGGTATATTTTCATGAGTGCTAACCAGATAAAAGCTCTAAAAAAAATCAAAATCAGAAGTAACCAAGACACTCACCTCTAAAAAACTCAAGCATTCATGAAACCAGCTGGCAATGGCGAAATGATGTCCTGCATTAATGCAACGCAAACAATGTGTAAACGCATTTGAAGATGATCCCGATGAATGAAGCAGTTTAAAGAGTTTAACGCAAACCTCTGAGTCACTTTCATCTTTTTGCTTGGAAGATAAGTATTACAAAAACATTTAACATACTAGCTGGGAGTTTAAGAGCTTCAGTAGTTCAGAGTTTCGTTTTTACTGACCAAAACTTTTTCCTAAGACCATAAATTAAAAAAAATGAGTAGTACTTTTAACATAAAAGTAATTTTCTCTGAGGGAAACATATCTTCCGACACTTCGGACCAAAACTAAAAGTCAGAAGTAAAAACAAAGAGAGGTACCTCAATCTCTGAAGCATCCTTGGACTCTAATGCTAGGGAACATGCTAATATGTTCAATAAACAAAAAGAAAGTACAAACCATGAAGTATTGTTGTTTTATCTGGAGAAGACAGAGACAACACTTTCATGTATGCTGATAATGCAGCAGATGAATTGTCTAAGTCTTCGTTAATTTTCGCTTGCAACAAAAGCGCAGGCACGGAATCAGGTCTAACCTCGAGGTAACCCTCAACGTAACTACGGTATAAAGTGGAGTAAGTTCGCACTAACCTTTTTGCCGATTCAAACTGATTGACTCCATAGTAGAGCTTAGCAATTTCAAGTGCCTTCAGCTTTCTCTATGTCCATAAAATAAAATAGATGTCATTCTTACTTCACTTAAACTGCAGCACTTAGCAAGAAGGTGACGTACATGCTTGTCAACTTGCTCCTTATCACCCAACATGCTCAAATCATTTAAACAAGCAACAACCTTACAAACCGAACAAACAAAGCTCACGAAAATATATTAATAAATTTTCACGTTTATTGACAAAAATTAATCATTTATATATGTCAGATATAAGATTTTGTAATTCATAGCATCTAAGTATTATAAACTAACAAACAACCCCGAGGCGAATTACCTGAATATTAAATCTGGGGGAATTTCAAACTTGGTGACACATTTTTGGTCACTTCCATAAATTTACTATTATGAGTTTTCTATTTGGATCAAGAAAAACACCTGAAGAGCAACTCAAAGACAACAAAAGAGCTATAGCTCGAGCAACAAGGGAAATCGAAAGAGAGAAAACCCAACTAGAGAGAGATCGTGTTAAAATTACAAATGAGATCCGAATGTTAGCAAAGAAAGGGCAAATAGATGCTGTGAGAGTGAGAGCTAAACAGATAGTTCGAATGGATAACTATATCAAGAAATTCTCAATAATGCACTCCAATTTAACAGTTTGTTGAATATAATAGTGAAATAATTTCTAATATAGGCTTTATCAATGAAAGTTCAAACCATAAAATCAAGTGCTACGATGGCTAGTGCTATGAAGCAAGTTACAATGGCGATGAGACGAATGAACTCATCTATGCAGTTGCCTCAAATCCAAAGAATCATGATGGAGTTTGAGAAGCAAACTGAAATGATGGAAATGAAAGAAGAAATGATGAACGATGTTATCGATGATGCCATAGGAGAAGACACTGATCTTGATGATTCTGAAAACATCGTAAATAAGGTTGGTTTAAGGGCTCAAGTAAATTTGTTTTTGGGAGCCAAACTCTATGTAATTTTCTATATTATGTTATCACTTGTTGTTTGCTACTCATTCACGCGGTACTGTGCTAGGATTCACAATTGCTGCGTAATAACTAATGATACCGCACAGGAACTCACCCTAAAGCAAAATTTGAATACACAGTCAATTGCCTGGGAGTCTAGTAATTAACCTACTAGGTATTATCAGATAGAATTCAGCTTTTTGGCATACAACAAGTGATATGGTCCCCAACGGTCTCCTCAGAGATAGATAAAAATAATACAAGTTAGTATATGTCAGACTCACGTAAAAATCTGGACAAAAAGGCATCATTCAACAATTTTTTTAAAGCAAATAAAGTTAAAGTAAAAACTCAAAGGAAATAGAATAGGTGCATAGAGAGTACGGAGGGTTTGATGAATATGTGACATCATGAAGACTGAGTGCATATACACCATTGAGAGCTTTATCGTGCCCTATCAATAATAATCTACTGCCATCGATTGTTAGTGTCTCTTTGACATCAGGTAGACACTTGACGCCTCCAAACGTGACTCACAGCAATGCTCTAAGACTTCATGTGTTAATGCCAAGTTTGACTTCCTTAACTCTTTTCCAACTTAATACTATGTCAGTTAACATTGCTTGTCAAGGAAGGCGACGAATAAGCTAGGCTACATTTTTAGAGATATTCTTGAATATTAATCTGTATGCACTGAAATGGTTGAAACAACCATATGTAAGCGTAATTAATGTAAGGGTAGAATTAAGGCAATAGGGTATGTTATCATTTATATACTAGGTGAGGGTATTTGATGTAACACACATTGATTCAGATTATAAGGAAAGAAGGCTCTTGTTGCTTATCTTAGTCTTCGCGATATATGTCTTTGCAGAGATCCAGTTTCCCTTTGAAAGCGTCCACCGATGGAGCTGTTACTACTGAATCAGGTAAGGAATTCCAGTCATTGACCACTCTGTGAGAGAATCTAACTGCACACGTTCAACCTCGGTTTGAGCACCTGCTTGTGATGACCTCGTAAATGTATCCTAGAAGGAAAAAAGGATTCGAAAGGTCAATCTTTAAGTCACACTTTAGTATACGGTATGCCAAAACTAAGCCGCTTCTCCTCCTTTGGCATGATAATGGGAAGAGATTTAAACGCTCCATCCTCTTATCATAAGGAAGGTGTGAGATATCACCAACCAATTTAGTTCCTACCCTCTTTACACTTTCCAGCATACATGCCTCGTTTTTGAAGCATGGACTCACCGCTTGTTTGAAGCATTCTAGTTGAGATCTAACATATGGTGCATAAAGTACTTGGAACATACCCTCGTCTACTCATTTGAAAGCACTTCGAAGTGCCCATAGCATTCGAAAAGCTTTATCTGGGGCTGCTTTGCAATTTCCAGTTGTTTTCAAATCATTGCTGACAATGATTCCTAGGTCCTGTCCGTTAACATTTGTCAGTTCTGTGTCCCCTAGGGAGTACGACGTGTAAGACCTCTAATCTAGGTGCATTACCGAACTATTCTTGGAATTCATTTCCAGACTCCAAAGGTTATCCCGTTTGGCTAATTTATCTAGATCGTTTTGTAGTACCAACCTGTCATCGTTACCATTTACGGGTTTCCATATCTTAATATCGTCCGCGAATTGCAAGGAAGATGAGGTAAGAATTTTCGTCACTTCACAGATATTTATGCTGCATCTCTGTGCTGAAAGTGAACGCAGTATCATATTCATTTTAAAGATTTAAGAGAGGCGAATATTCAAAGAAATTTTAATATACAGAAATGTCCGAGCGTAAAAGTAAGCACCTGGAGAAGAATTAGTGAACAATGAATGAGGCGTCTACGACTTCATAAAGGGGTGAGTGTATTTTCACTATTAATGGCCACAGAGTCTGGAGAACCCCAGCCATGCAGTCTACACCTTAATGAATGGGTGCTTGTTTTTCACAGGAATACTCCTGTCATTTTTACAACTTAATCAGATGTCAACGTACATTGCTCCATGAGAAAGGCAATGACTTGTCGTACGTAACACATCCAAGATCAATGCGCTACTTCATTGATTGAATGTCTCTCCTTACCTAACACTATGTCTAACTTTAGTTTTACTCAATTATACTACATGATTCAACCTGAGTTATAGAACTCAATCACCTATGATCAAAAACGGTTGGCCCCTTAAACCTTAGACGACCACATCTCATTCATTAGCAAACACAGAACGAACTGCTCCTCAGTGCACATATCCTTTGATCGATAGCCGGAGATGACGTAAGTTGGCGAACAACAAATGAGCCATTTTATCAGAGTTGAGATTTTCTCACTATTCAATCGATTAAGAATGATGCAGCTTCCTGTGTTTAGACTAAGAGTTGATACAGATCAGCCTTGCAGCATCAACTTCCATTTATTTGCCAAGACGGAATCGCATCAATTTTTTTTTAGCAATCCCAACTGTATTAGCATCTTCAGTAAACTAACATGACTTCTTCTTTTTCTTACTTCCCTCTTTTAATATTAGGTTCTTGAAGAGCTCGGAATCGACCTCAATGCCCAGCTTAGTGATCTCCCAACAGCCAAGGATACCGTTGGCAGTGGTGCAGTCGCAAATCCACTGAGACCTCGCGCTGTTGCTACAGATGGTATCTCAACTATTGAAAACCCTCCTGCCTCTGGCTCCACCGACACACCTATTGATGAAAATGACTTGGAAGCTCGATTAGCACGTCTTAAGAGGAAGTGAACTATCATATTTCCGATTCAGATGTCTGTTTTCCACTCCCCCAGACTAATGATGACAACTTGTGCTTCTGTAAATCCTAAAATTCCTGGCTAAGCATAATAACTTGCTGTCAGACCTTGGAATATTGTTAATTGATTTTTTCATCCATATGAATGACTTCGTTTTTACCTAATATGATATTGAAACCTTCGCCTTTTATACAACAAAGGCAGTTTTTTTTTACTTATTGTTTAGTAATTTTATGCAGTTTACTGTTCAAGATTTCTTTAGTATAAATGAGAATTTACTTTCTTGAAACTTTGTGGTTGTTTGTTTTTAATTTTACGGCCAGTTTCTATTTCTAACAGGCAGTGTTGTTGGTGTTAAGTTATTCTATAACAATTTCTTACTTCCTATTAGTTGTAGACTGATGTACTTCTTAAGTCGAGGGATTGTATGTGAATCAATCGCTTTCATCTATAACAATCCTATCACAGGCAACACTCTACTGTAATGATCCTTTCGCGCCCCCTCAAAGTAAATATACGTATATTTTGTGCTTACGTTGTTGTGTAAATAAAAACAGAACAGGTACAACACCGTTGAAATATATACATACCGCAATATTCTGCACGGAATCGATTTGCAGGTTAGTCTGTGCATCGACATGAGTAGCCAGGACGTAGGCTGTGCATGCATACTGAGGCGCTGCATTTATTCAAATGATCAGTATGGGAGACATAAGAATAGTCCTCTCTGGTTTAAACTCGGTCTGGAGCATTTCCGTGAATTTTTTCACTTTGGTTTATCATTCACACAAATTTTACTGTGGTATAATTTCTGTATGCCTATTCCACCTAATTGCCGATGACTATGATTTTCTATATTCTACATTCTAGTACTTACAAGCCAAATATCACCACTGTACTTTGGTGGCGCTTATGATATTTCTTCGAGGGACCATGTTTTACCTCACTCCATTAGAACTAGAAGTGTTGACACTACATTCGAAGTTTTATAATGGCATAAACCGTCCAATAGTGATATTAGATGGTTGGAGGTAATCGGCAGGAAGACTTGGACTTAGGTTTTGTGCTAGTTGGCACTCACCAGTCAGTAAGGCGTATCTGCAACCTTGAAGGAACTCATGTCCCTTCTGAAATTCGAGCCCGCGTCAGCCAGTGAGTACTGCAGTCAGAGACGTTACCACTGAGCTATTCGAGCTCGCCTGTAGGATTGTAGTATATACTTTATTGAACATTACCCAGTAACTAGTGTGATGTTTCTAGTCCTTTCTTTAGTGCAGACTGAATTCTATCAGTTAGGTTTGCAATGTGGTCTCCATTCTAGTAGCTCGTCATCACGGTGCACATTCATCTGATGACATTAGGTCCAAGGCTTCCTGCCGATGGCCGCCAACCATCTAATATCATCAAATCAATGTCCACCGTGATGGTCAGTTACCTAGAATGGTGGCCACACTGCAAACCTGACTGATAGAATTCAGTCTGCACTATAGAAAGTACTGGATACATCACACTAGTTACTAGTGTCCAATCAAATTATCGTCCAACAAGATGGGAAACTGAATTACTGTTTGAAAAAATATTTTACATCAAGCAACTGGGCAGTCCCATCATGTCAGTTACATTTAGAAAAAGTAAAAGCCCCTCTTGTTGAGAATTTTCACCAATATCACTGAAGAAAGTGTACTGAGTGAAGTATCCTAAGTCAAGCTTAGATTGAAGCTTTAAAGACAATCTGATCAAACGAAAACATTCTGATATGGGGACTGGGGTTGTACTATTAGATAGAGCTGACTACAGCGATGAGATGAACAGGATTCTATAGGACACTCCAAAATCCGGAAAATCTACGTGATGATCAGTTTAATGGAGATAAAGTAGAAAAGAATTTTGTAACATACTGAAATCTGTGACCTTCACTAACATAGAGTCTCCCAAATTCACGAACGTATAGAAACTTTAGGAACAAACATAACCAGATTGTATAGGCCACCTAAAATTCATTAGCCCAACGCACCATTGAAACCAATATCAGATATCTTTAGCTCAGTATATCTTGAAATAGCTAGATGGCTGGAAAACATAGTTGAACCACTGCACCTAAAAGTGGTTAAATAAAGCTTAAAGCCCGCTTCCGGATTGATACAAAAACTGAGAAATAAGAAGATCAGTTATATGTACGAGGCCACCTTCCCAGTTCACTAACTATCCTTTATTAGAGACCATCGACTTCATCTATGAATCTCGTATAGAAGATGATACCCACATACGTAAACCACCTCAAACACTACGGAAACTGTTACTTCCGTTGTATGATGAATGTGCAGCATCAGTTTAACAGCGAAATCTGTCGTCAATTTGAAGATGTAGCAATGGGCTCCCTTCTGAGTCCTCTCTTAGCTGATATGCTTGAGGGAAAAGGCAATCAACAAACTACCGTTCTTCGTAGATACTTTTAGCTTTCATAAGTATAAAATCGATACCGAGGTTTTCCTTAAAAACGTTCAATATGCATCAACCACAAACTGAGCTCATAAACAAAACAGAGAAGAACAATACTTGATAGAAATTTAGCTTTTACAATTCTATATAAAGTGCCACCTCAGTTCCTTAAGTTGGTATGCCAACGATTGCTAGCATAGCTGAGTCAGTTGCCATAAAAAATGTTCAGCTGTAATCATTATTCTCATTTGTACTGCTAACTTCATTATCAATATCATTCTACGCAATCTCTGTACATTTTAATCTTAGTTTCACAACTTATTATTATCATCGTTACTCTACTCCAAATTCTCCCTGGTTATATTTGTGTCTATTGATCCACAATGTCTTCGGACATCTATGACTAATACTTTACTGAGTACTTGTAAAGCTTGATGATAATTTACTGAAGATACGTATCAGCTTGCTCAAAATCCCCCTCTATAAACTTGAACACACCAGAAAACTGCATTTCTTAAGCTAGTGTTTGATGTGCCTGTATCATATCATAATTCAACTACCTCCGCAGTTATGCCTACGACCTGCAGTGATATCAAACATACGAGAGTAGAACTATGTGTGGTCTTTGATGTGAACATTTCTCTGAAATGATTTCGAAAGCTTAGTTAGCTAAGGCATTTGTGAATTAATGATACAATAAGTGAATGCTGTTCCCATCTTGAAAAACACCTACATGACATGCATGATACTATCACATCTAGAAGAATTCACAACATAGGAATCCGATGGCCGCTAGTGACTGCCTGCACGATGTATTTACCCGGAGTTCTAGTTAGAAGTTATGACCAATGAGGACCACCCGGCCGGAAATGAGATACCAGGCGCGCTTAAATCACAAACAGGATGAAATTACAATTCATGGGAGTCGGGTCCCAGTGGTTGAATGATCTCTAACTTATATTAATCCGTGATCAAACTTAAATTAATTCCCTGCAAACAAACTCTTGAAAATATAGGAATTAAGCTGGGGTTCAAACTTCACTAGATAGTCGCATTCTTGATCATCTCCGCATGACGTCTACTTCCTTATAACCGAGCCTAATAGAATTAAGATACTCCCCGAATGGGAGTCATACTTCTAACTGATTATCCCAGTCATTCAGTCTGCACCTTCGTGAATTGATGCTAGGTTTTTACCAGAATCCCCTTCTTATTTTTCCGACCTAATTCGATGTCAACTTACATCTCTCCATAAAAAAGGCGTCAACTTGTCATGTCCAACACATATCCAAAACATATGATCGATGCAACTTCATCTAACATTCGCTTTACTCAGTATCTTACACGAGTTCATATGAGACATAGAACTTAATTACCTATGATTTAAAAGACAGCTAGCCTCTTTAAGTCTCGAACTGTCGACCGCCATATCTCACAGGCGTGAGAAAGACAGAACGAACATCATTTGATCGATAGCCAAGCCTGACATAAGTTGAAAAATGCTAAAGAGTCACTTTATGAGAACTGGGATTTTGTTACCAATCAGTCGATTAAGAGTGATACAACTTCCTAAAATTAGTCAGTGAAATGTTCAACACTCTCAAAGTCATGACTCCTCTCTTCAAACTAAGAGTTGATGCAGATCAGCCTTACAGCATCATCTTCATTTATTTTACAGGGCCGAATCACATCACTTTTTCAGCAGTTCCAGCTTTAGTACCACCCCAGTTCCACAATACGAAAATGCCGTTGCACAAAACGATTGATTTGACAATGTGATCTATATCTGCCCGAGTAATGTGGTCACTATTCCCTCCTTTAAAATGACCTAATGCTCAAATACTCAGAAAGATTCGCAAAATTCAAATTACTTTGGATTACGAAGATCAACAAATACTCTCTTCATTTCATTCTCCTATATCATTTACTCCTGACACTAATTCGTTAGAATCCAGCCTAATCAATTAGGATAATCCCAGTCTCATGTCACGAACAGAATTCATACAACTAATACGTCCAAAACCTGTCCTGCCATGGCCATCATAAACGGGTAATTTTTTTAGTAATGACCATCCTATCGCCTTTCTTATCTTAACCTTCTGTTTATTCATGTTATTTTTAAGTTTTCTTAATCCCTGTTTTTTTTCCTTCACGTTCCCCAGTGGGACATAGGGCTCCAAACTATTGGCTTGAAGTTTCTATAGCAGTGTTTATTTTACAGGATCGGGTTGCTAGCCTCATGCCCAACCTTTCCTCTTTACCAGGATTATTTCTGGCTTAGCGAGGTAAAGAGTGCGCGTCCAGTGGCCGGGGATCGAACCCCGAACCATGTGCATGGTCGACGAGCGTCCTAACCGCTATGCCACCTAAGAACTATCATATTTTCATATCCGAACTTCCTGTCTATTTTATCATTTTATTATTTCTACATATTTAATCCCAGATTGCATAAACAATTATTCATCACATTCGTTTTTTTATCCAAACATCCTGTCTATTTTTGTTATTCCTACATTTCTAACCCCCAATTGCACAATATCAATCTTCTCAGTAATTATGATGCTACTTTGTTTGAGTTTTATCCGTCGCCTGTTTATTATGACATTTTAATTCCTAATTGTAATTTTTATTAATTTGACGCTTAACCGGAAATTATTCTGGAACTTTCCCATCCATTTGATATAAATACACGAATGTACAGCCTAGTTGATGTGGACTTCGTCGAAAAGAAAATTTTCTACGCTGCAAGTGTCTTCTTAATAACTCCTATGACCCAATGTGTATATTCCGTGAAAATCCATAGTACTCTTAGTTCGAGCACCCTTCTCCACCCTCACGCCCCTCCCACCTCTTTAAACAATATCATATCATACATTATAAAGACATCATTTTAGCGAGGAAAAAGAAACTTTTATTGATTAAATGAATACCAGTGTAATTTTCTGGCTTCTTTTCCAAATATTGATTAACCCCAGAAAGTGAGATAGAGAGAGAGAGAGATAGACAGCGTTATGAAAGAATTACTTTGTCAATAGAAAATAATATCACAGTTTATAAGCCCTTGTATGTATGCATACGCGTAGTTGGATAAATACGTAGAATCATGCAGACAGGACAAGTGTTATGTATAAATCGGAAGAAGGCTAATTTAATATACAGAAATTGAAACACTCCTCCTAATTTCTTCTGTAGCAGTCATCATAATAATAATAATTTAAACCAATAATAATGTGTGCAAAAACAATAGGCTAATGGGAAAATTAAGAAAAGAAAAAAGGTGGAATTTCACACTCCTATCATAAAAATCAAAACAAAAAAACAAAAGCATCTATGATGGTGGCGTATCCAAATCAACCATCAGACCACTGTCCCCGCTTAATCGTTGACCATCTTGAGATTTGTATTGATGACAATGTGTTTGCTATGCTCTGCATCATTTAAATCTGTAGAATTTGTTAAACATGTTATTGGTGCACACATATGTAAGGGATTATTAGCAGCATTACAGTCATATTTATGATGACCCACTGATTTCTCATTATGAACACTAGTACTGGAGTCAAACGATGAACTCGACTTATCCAAGATCAAATGACCACCACCACCACCACTGTCACATTTCGTGAGTTGTCCTCCATCTACTCGCGATTTGTAGCAATGATGATGATGATGTGTATGATTATATTTCTGTTTTGATATCTCCTCCATTCGTAGACGTTCCATTTCTGTAACTTCTAGAATACATTCTTGTAAATCTTCCATTAGTCGTGCTCGATCAGAAGCAGTTTTAGTATTGAAGGTGGCGAGAATACGTGCTCGACCATTTGGCGTTTCAACAATAATACTGTTGTTATCCTTCTGTGAATCTATACTCTGTGTTGTCTGTCCTAGTGGTAGTAATAATTCTAAACCATTTGTATGATGAATAGTTTCAAATGGTACTAATTTTACGCCGAGCAGTTGAATTGTCATGCGTACTTGATAGGCGACAGCTGCATCTTTACGTCGTTTTTGAACAGCTTTAGTTATTAGTAGGAGATCATTGAAAAGGAATAATTCACGTTGATGTGCACCAGAACGTTCACGTTTATTTTTATCTGGTACCTAGAAAAGAAAAAATACAGACAAAATTATTTTTGATTGATTGGAGGATTCATCATGAGCTGAAATCAGTTAGAGAACCAGTGGGAAACCAACTGGGAGTACTCGACAGCCAGCGGTTTCCTCCATCATAGTTTGGGACACTTTTAGCAGTATGCACCCCACTGCCAGGAGTCAAACTCAAGACCCTCTGGTTATAAGGTGAGCTAGCTCGTAGACCATTAAACCACTAGAACCCGATCCACTAGCCTATGAATTCTATTTTTATTTAAACTTAAGCTTCTGTGTACATACTATATAAGTCATTTTTGAACACTGTTCATTGAGTTTGAAATCTCATATAAACTGGAATCATGTCACACCTGTGTCGGTAGCACAGCGGTTAGGATTATCACCGACTATGCACATGGTCCGGGGTCCGACCCCTGCCGACGCACACCTGATATCAATACTTGGCTTGCAAAATTTGGGCCCCCGATATCACATGCTGACAGTTCCATAGTTGGACCGAAAATACTGCATGCAATCAAACTATAATCAAAAATGAAAGTATGTCAAAATTGTTCTGCCCTTAAAATTAATCATTGATTTCTTAAGACTGTACGTAAGTGATGAAAAGCTGACGAAATAAGCGATGGTACCACCTTATTCTTCACAAACCGTTGTTTTCGATCTATTACGAATCTAAATTACTGATTGGTGAACAAAGAATATTCTTTTCAATAAATTCGTCTTCATCAGGTTCTACATTGATATGACAGTAATAATTAATGAAATATTGCTATTAACAACATGAATGTAGTTTCAAATTGCATTGAATCAATAATATCGACTGACTACAGGTCAAAAGTATCATTAAGAGATAATATTTATTAATATAATACTAAACTTGAAGGTTCGAATCCAGGACCTCCTGGACCTTCTGCGAGCTAGCTCGCAGACTATTAAGCCACTGGAATCTGATCCAACGGCCAATGCAGGAATTCTAACTTCTGTCAATTCATGAGATAGCGCGACCACTTCTCAATGTCTTCTTCGATGAGTTACCGTCTCACATTCAACCTACTGCACCCTACTGGTCACAACTTCCCACTAGAACCTCAGGTCATCGCCTGAATAGATAGGGCCAGTCGCTAGTAAGCATCAGATAAATTTTTCAAGTATTGGTTTTCGTGGGGATTTTGTTTGACTGCTTGGGAGATTTCATCATGAGCTGACATCAGTTAGAGAGCCATTGGAATATCAACTTATCATAATCGTCTTAAAGATTAAATATATAAGCTTGTTACTTAAGCACCAGCTACGCATTTTCGTTCAAATGGTACACACGTTATACTTTATTTATTTAACTGGTCAATAACCGTGGAGGAACAAAATTCTTTAACTTAACATGGGTAGCATTAATCTCAATCCCAGGCGGCACGAATAAGGATGTTAAAGTCAGTCAAGATCGGAAACAAAAGACAGATCTGAAGTCTGCCAGACTCAACACAAGGAACAAGATCAGCTTATTTCAAATATTTCAAAATGATACAGTATTAATGACTGAATGGCAAGGTTTCAAGCAGAATTTATTGCTCATAATCATATCAATTTTAGTCACTAGACTCCATAATTAACTTTATACAAGTATTTTTGCGTGTTGCCACTTTCCTTCCATATCTCCGGTATGGGTGTTGCGGCATTTCGACTGCACGTGTGCAGTGTTGAATCAATAACACAAAAATTCAGTGATCAATCTCTCTCTCTCTCCGCCTAAATATATCACTCTCACCCTGTCCCACCCACCCTATTGTGTGACTGATTACATACAAGTGAATGGAATTTTTATTTTATTTTTTTATTTTTGATTTACAGCTTGATTCCACACTGTATTTTTGGTACAAGTATGGAATTTTCAGCATGGATATCGGTAGCCCAAATTTTGCAGGCCGACCATAGATATCAGGTGTGCGCCGGCGTGGGCTCGAACCCTGGACCATGTGCATGGTCGGTGAGAGTCCTAACCACTGTGCCACCGACGCACAATGGCTGAGCTTTTTTCCAGGTTATTTAACTTAACAGGGTCAATCATTCTACATCTACCTAAATTTGAATAGAGTGTATTCAAATTTCTAAATAAACTAATATAAACAAACAGTCCGTCTCTGACCTTCTAGGTCTAGCTAAATAATTTTTGTTCCGATAACATAATTGACTCTAATCCACTAGAGTTCGACCTTTGTAATTGACCTCACAGTCATTACATGGTATTTAATAAATTATATTATCATATCATGTGCGTCGGTGGCACAGTGGTTAGGACTCTCACCGACCATGCACATGGTTCGAGGTTCGAGCCCACACCGGCGCATACCTGATATCTATGGTCGGCCTGCAAATTTGGGCTACCGATATCCATGCTGAAAATTCCATACTTGTACCAAAAATACAGTGTGGAATCAAGCTGTAAATCAAAAATAAAAATAATAAAAATAAATAAAACATATCGAAATGATGCACACTGGAAATTGGCAACGAACAACACAAGGAAAAGAGTGCGAAAGGGAGGTGAATTACTTATTTATTCCTTATTACAGCTTGATTCCACACCGTATTTTTTGGTACAGGTATGGAATTTTCAGCATGTGATATCGGTAGCCCAAATTTTCCTAGCCGACCATAGATATCAGGTGAGCGTCGGCAGGGGATCGAACCTCGGACCATGTGCATGGTCGACGAGAGTCCTAACCGCTGTGCCACCGACGCACGTATACATGTGTAAAGCAAACCATGGATCCGTGTGACTAAAAGTGATATGATGTGACATGATTATGAGCAATAAATTCTGCTCAAAATGTCATCCAGTTGCTAATACTCCATCGCTGTGTGATATTTGAAATATACATATCTGATATGGAATTGCATTCTACCACCACATTGCTCAAGTTTTACACTCACATTGCTAATAAGGAAGAAGATTCGGATTCCTAACACTAATGTCAGTTATGTCAGTACTTCAGCATAGTTCAGAGACGATGCATGCATCGCCAAAAGCTTTTCCAACAGACGGGAAACTTCCATTAACACCCGCCTCCGGTCTATAATGTAGATCAGATGGCCAGAAAAGATGAATAACGTGGAGCAGAGGCAACAAACTATCGCCCACAATTGTGCTGAAGGAAACAGTAATGGCTAAGGCACCAGGCTCTGAGGATAGAAAATAAGGAATTGCGTGTCCGAGTGTGACATAGTGGAGATTGTGAGAAGGGGGATGAAAGCTCATAGAAAACCGTGGAGACAGCCAAAAGAGACTTCAGAGAACCGAGTAAAATCCAGGTGTGCTGCAGAAGCCCTATGTCATTCTAAACCCAAGGGAGTAATATAATTCATTACTTTCTGAAAATATCCTCGGACTTTATCTGTCGAATGTATATTCCCATGAGTTCACTGACACACAGACAATAAAGGAAAACAATGACCCATGAAGTCTGCCAAAACCAAGTTAGTCGTTAGCACGATAAAACCTTTCCCCGAAAGGTGTCTAACACAGGAGGATACACACTAGAGAGAAATATGTGTGTCAATATAATATAAAAACCATTTCGCATAACAAACAAAACAAAAGAAAACTGGACTAACCTCATACAGTCGACAGTAACATACTAATCTTCTTTGAGGTACTGAAAGATTCAGCGGTTTCAAGGGGCCAGTGAGATGTTGTTGTATTTTACGCACTTGATCAGTATGATCTGACTGAACAGACATTTCCTTTGATTTCATTCGATTGTATATGCCAATTAGTAAATCGCGATCTAAATCTTCACCTATGAGGGGTGCGGGGATGGGAAATGAGACAAAACAAAAAACACAGTTGTTTTAAGGAATAAATGAACTTTATAAAATCATGTAACAAATATTCTCTCCCTAAGGATTACAGGTATTCTCATAACACTTGAATTAAACTTCTATATTGGGTAGCAGTGCTAGGTCCGAGTCCCTACGACAATGTCATCAGTGATATACAGGCTTATGAAGGAAAAAAACGCGCATTACAACTTCCATTTCTGTTTGAAAACAACCAAAGGAGTCTAAATGTGTATACCGATGCGGCACAATGGCTTTAACACATGTTTTTCTACCGGATGGGCTACGGATTCGAGTTGTACCCCGCCTAATTCAGTCTGGGAGGAAACTGGATAGTTAAGCAAACAACCACAGAGGAATTAGAAACTCAAGTTTATAGAAAATCAACCCACACAGACCAAATCCTGAATTACAACAGTAACAATCCAACACACAAAAAGGAATTGTATACAAACACTATTCAAGTGAGCCAGCCAGGGCTCATTGCAGCACTCCCACCTGAAGGAAAGTGGAAGAAAAATATCTCATGGACGTCTTCCAAAAGAATGGATATTCCCGGAATTTCATCAAAAAACATATAACCCCAAGCCAGCCTGTCAAACCAAAAGCCTCCAAAGAAAGCACAAAGAAAATCACCCTGCCATATATAAAGGACATCTCAAAAATCACTACAAGACTCCTCAAACCTTCAGGAATTGACGTCACACACACAAACCAACAAAATCACTTCACTCAATTCTATGTCAACCAAAAGACTCAACAGAGAAAGAAGATAAAACCAACATAATCTACAAAATAAATTGTAACAACTGCGAAAAACACTACATTGGCCAAAGTGGACGTTCCCTTAGTCTTCGTATCCACGAATATAAGCTAGCCGTCAAAAGACATGACATCCACTCACTCATATCACTGCATACAGACAACCACGGATATCAATTCGACTGGGACAACCAGCGTTCACATATTAGACAGAGAATGCTAGAGAATTTTTAGAAGGCTGCCTGGTATTCCAATGAATCATCAATCAATAGACACATCGAGATAGAAAAAATTTATCAACCGATAAGAAAGAAACCTCACACACACAAAGGGTCAAAGTTCAAGTCAAAGAAACAATCAGTCCCAATACAACCTATCACGTCCAAGGTCACCAGGAGAGATAACTAATAAACTCGTGGAGAAATCTACAAGCTCACTTCATCAAATTGAAGTATGCGCTGAAGATGTCGCCTAGTAAGTAGGCGATGAAAGCTTTGCAAATAAACCAGCCATCCAGCTCACAGAACACAACCACCTCCAAAAAAAACTGGATAGTATCACCAACACTGGTACAATAAGTGCAGCTCTTAGACTGTTACATAATAAATCCGTTCCGACTAGTGGAAGTTCAACAAAAGAGAGCAACGATTCCTCCTTTTTCGTATTATTTGAGTATGATACAATATAATTGACTGCGATTATTTCCAAACCACTTGTATATTACATAGCAACAATATTTTCAGTTTGCTTGTATATATATCAAGTTCTAAAGCTTCAGGTTTAATTAAGTTTACCTCTATCCCAATTGAAAATGATACTTTTATTATCGAACAACAGTAATAAAATTACATTAACAGAAGATGAGTATATATAATTATTAACATTGTATAAAATCACATGGATGTTGAAGCTAATTTCTCTCTCTCTTATGAATAATCAATACATTTCATCAATTCACTACGCTAATAATAATAGTAATAATACTGGAATGTTAGACTGTAAATAAAAATATTCATATAACTAATGTGCATGTAAGTAAATAACCATAAACATGCAAAGTTAACATAGATAAAGCACAAGAGCAAAAGGCAATCTCAATGGAGCATAGAAACTGTCTATTAAACCCAATTTACACAAGATAAGGACTATAAAACGACAGTTGAATAGTCGTATGGATATGCTTATGAGACAGAAACAGAACAGACCAGAAAAATAAATAAATTGCGAACTTTTAGATACAGCAGGTTGAAGATGAGGCAGTAACTCATCGAAGAAGACATTGTGAAGTGGTTGCGCTATGTCGTGAATTCAAGGGCTATTGGACCGGGTCCTAGTGGCTCAATGGTCTACGAGTTAGCTCGCCTTGTAACCAGAAAAGCCTGGGTTCGAATCTCGATGGTGCTTACCGGTGAAGAGTCTCGAACTAGGACGAAACAGTTGTCCATTACCTCAGGACTTCCAGGGTTCTCTAACTGATTGCAGCTCATGATGAAATCCTCCATGCAATCAAACAAAATCCCTACAAAACCAATACTTGAAAAAACTTTTAAATAGATAAGCCAATAGCACTTGACAGTTTCCTGTAAAGCTGATGATTATTGTTACTACATTACTTTCCCACGGGTTCCGAGTGGAACATTAGGCTTTCCCCACATATCTCAATTTTGTCTGCTCCTCAGCAGTCCTTTTTAGTTGCACCCTCCATAAGCTTTCATCTTTTGCATGTCATTATCAGACCCCAACTGGCCGTTTATCTTTCGAATCTCGCTTGAGCGATGACCTGACAGGCGATGTCATTCGGTGGTTTGTTGTGAGTGTGTGTCCCTATTCATCTCCATTTTTTTCGGCATATTTTTTGAGCAATGAGTTCTTGGTTTGTTCGTTTCTAGAGTTCCTTGGGGTTAATTCTTTCTGACCGGTTATATGATCTTCAGTACTGAGAAAAGGCAGCCGTTCTTAATGCTTTTCCAAGTGGGAGCTCCAAGTTTTCGAAGAAACAGCACAACTGACTGACTTAGCACTGGTGTTCAATTCCGAAATTTGTTCTTATGCTGAGTATAGAAGATTTCCAAACTGATTTCAGAGTGATGAAGGTCTTTCCTGTCTTTCCGATCCTGGTTCTCACATCGTCATTCGTTCTGTCGCCTATAGTTGGAACGATGCTGCAAAGATAAACGAAGAAGTGACCTCTTTCAAGTTTCTCCCGTTAATAGATTGGCGCTTGTTGTTGTTAGTTAATTACCTTCTAGCTATGTTCTCTTGAAGTACTGCCTTCGCTATCTGCCTCTTCTGCCAACTTGTTGGTTTTCGCCTTCAAGTTTGTGTGACATGGGACATAAATCATCCGCAAAGTCCACATCTTCTAGAGTCTTCTTATCAGTCCATCGTATTCCTGTCTTCTAGCTCCTCGTAGTCCGATGCATAATTCAGTCTACCACTTTTTTTCCTTCACTTTCCCAGTGGAACATAGGGCTTCAAGCCAGTAGCTTGAAGTTCCTGTAGCAGCTTCTATTTTTACAGGATGTGTTTGCTAGCCTCATGTCAGCCTTTCCTCTTTACCAGCAATATATCTGGCTTAGCGAGGTAAAGGAGTACGTCGGCCGGGGATCGAACCCCGGACCATGTGCATGGTCGGCGAGCATCCTAACCACTGTGCCACCGACGCACCCAGTCTACCATAATTAGGAATATCATCGCTGATATCAGGCAGCCTTTTATTCCTTCGATTTTTACTTCAAAGACCTCTTAGTTGAGTTACCCATTGTGGATAACTTGACTAATGTTATATGGTTGTTGACAAAGCTTCATGTGAAGTTATTAATTTAGTGTACAATTATAAAAAGCTTTCACTACTTCCTATTGTCTTTCAATAATAGATTTCACTAAAAAGAGCAACGACATAAGGTACACTGATTTTTGTTTAATAAAAAAATATTGACAATCGTTCTAGGAACTTGTTTTTTTTGCTAGGAACACTTTTCAGCGTAGCTAAATGAAGGTGGGGTGAAAACTATATTGGATCACCTAGTTCAGTATTCAAGGATCTTTTCCCATAAAATATCGGGGGTGGAATGAATTCCCAAGGCGTTTTAGATACCAGATACTCTGAACTAACAAGCCATAGCCATAGAGTTGTCAATAACCATTATTCTTTTCCCCAATAGTCGCTAATCTTTTCATGAATAGATTCGGAGATGGCATCTTTTCAAGTATACTCACGCCTGAAATATGATCAAGACACGTTGGTGATACTTTTGTTACGCTTAAACGAGATCTACACAATTCATTCTTGCAGAAATTGAACAATCTATCTCCTAGCATCCAGTTTACTTCGGAAGCAGAATCAGCCATCGGTGAACTGCCATTTCTCGACTGCCTAGTTAAGAGAAGGGGAGACGGATATTCTAATACATCTATCTTCAGGAAGAAAACCTACTCCACAAATGTTTAGACACCCGGTCATCACACCCCATCAGCGCAAAGGTATCGGTTGTTTCAACTCTTCTTAGACAAGTACACTCTTACATAACGGAAGTGAAGAAAAAAGAAGAAATATAAAATATTACTGAAACTCTCAGCAAAAATAACTACCCAAAGAACTTAATCAAGAAAATCAACACCCACGTTAAATATGGTCGAACACGTATTCCAAAGACATAGGCCTCAACAGTTGCCATTCCATATACGTCAGAAACGTCAGATAATCTCAAAAAAGTTCTCAATGATCACATCAGTTTTCTTCAAAACGTCAGACACACTAAAAAGCAACCCTGCACATGTAAACGACCAAATCACTAAGGATTCTAGATCTAATCGTATCTACAAAATAAAACGCTTGGAATGTGATGCGATACACATCGGACAAACATCCCGAGAAATCAGAAGAAATGAACACTGTAGAGCACCTATTAACTACCGAGAAATCCAGTTGAGCTAGAAAAGCTTGGAAAATCATCAGCCAGCCAAAGATCTACACGCTATAGAATCTGGCCATAAAATTGATTTTGACCATATTTAAATGATACCGAAAAATTTCAGAAATCACAAATAACGCCTAATATCAGAACCACTTCGTTTCAAATGGAATGTAAATTGTCTGGTGAATAGGAATGATAGAATATAAAAACAGAAAATGACCACCTAGTTAAAACAGCCCCACCCTCCTCTATGAAATAAGAAAATCAACACGAATGTGTAAAAACACATGCTGCCTTTTGAATTGTATACACTTATCAAATCCAACAATCTACATGTGGTTTTGTTATCTTTACCAATTCGCCAACTTGACAACAACATGAAAATTACCACATGTTGCAAGCAGAACAACGATTAAATTGCTATATGTATAAGCTGAGATTTTTTAAATTCTGGTTTAATAATACTACTTTGATAAGGCTATTACCAGAAGCATTGAATAACGAAACGTCAGTAAAAACAAAACAATATCGCTCTGTTTTACATTCATTGGGAAATGCAAAAACTTTTATGATAATCAATATAGCGAATACCCAATGCCTAAATTTTTTTTAAACTGTTAAAGTGAACCTGCTTTGGAAGTATATAACCATTATTCTATAACTACTATGGAAATATATGGACTGAATGAAGCAGTTACTGAGAATAACAGTACACGTCCACTCATCAATCCCTTAACGAGGAAATAATTAAAAATTCGATCACTGAGAACTATAGTGATCGCTCCAAAAATAACACCTAGAAATTTTCAAAACGGTAGAATAAGTGGAACACCAAGATAAATGAAACTATAGCGGATCTTCCGTAAATCCAAGGCGGTTACACACTCTCAGACATCCAGTAGACTCTGTCTCCCTCTCTAATCATCCTCCCTCCTCATGCAATGGTGAAGAAAATATCAATTATGGAATGATTAAAAACTGGTGTTGAAACTTAGTCGTTCCATTTAACCCCAATACCTGAATCATGTAGAGACGCCCAATTTACCTTGAGTAGGTTCACACATATCGATCTTATTGTCTTTACCAAATGATATGCAACAGAAAATGATGCTCAACCTTTTTAAAATCTCCTACTTACCAGAGTCTACACCACGTAAATTCCTGATAAATTCATCTCGTGTCATTTTTGATTGTTGGCGAACATTTGGACTGTACATATCAGTATGCAGCATAACGATAGCATAGGCTAAAATCATTACAGTGTCTGAACTACGAAATTGTGTTTTCACACGTGTTGCATTTTGTTCAACATAGGCTGTTTGAAATTCATTCAACAAATGAACTATTTTCTGTGATTCACCCTAAAAAATAAAAAAATGAATAATCGTTTAACAAAACTTGTTGTAAGAATCCACCTACTTATAAGTAGTTTGTATAGTTACAAAAAAAGTTGTGAGATAAGAATGAAGCTGCCAATAATACAAGTCATGTAAACAAAGTTGCCTCATGCAAATCTTGCCGATAATTTAGACGACAATGCTGTTAAGCTCGACATTATGCCAAAAATACTCTGATCTAGAGGTAACTCTTCAGAGTTGAAAACTACCTTTCCACGACACACTATGTTAAATAAGTCATAGAGTATGCAGAACTATGTGCAGCACTTAGCATCCATTGCGCATAGAATTAATGAATGACATCAGTGAAACGGAAGATCAACATTCACATGCTAAAACAATTTGGATTGGATTTCTAAAATACACTTTAGTTGAATTATTTCACCCATCTACGAAGTATAACACCACAATAGGTATTTTCTAAGCTTTTAGCATGAGCTTATAAAACACACACACTATTATGTATCCTATGGTTCCTGGTGTAAAATGTGGCTTCAGCAACAAATCTGCATTTGGTCTCGTTCCCTACAGCCGTGTTTAGCTGATTCCACAATTGTTTTAATCTCCTTCTTACATGATCTTTTTCTCCATGTCACCTATGGATGCCCAACTCGACGCCTGCCATTCTGGTTCCTCTAGAAGGCCTAGTATGAGAATTCATTCAACGGTCCTCTCAGCATATCCTTTTCTGGTTGCTAATTCTTTCTCACCACCTAGTCTTGAATATGGAGGTGGCAACGGTAGCTGTTGTTAAAAATCTGTAGTAGCCCGTTAGGAATGCTTCTGGCGACGCGCCCGTAAACTCTCTGGACTGCGGAGAAGCACTGAATTCACATTAGTGTTAGAAATGCGTATCTTGTTCTTTCTGTTGAATGGAGTAGATTTCCAGATTGATTACAGATCAATAGAGGTCTTTCGTGCTATTCCGATTCTGCCTTTGACACCCTATCCGTGCCACTTGTAGATGAAACAATGATACCTACATAATTGGAAGAGATGATCTCCAAATTTATCCTGTTGATGGTGATTAATGCTTGCATTTTGGTGGCTAATGTATCTCTGTCTACTCTGTGTACACTTGAATTCCTGCCTTAACTGATGCCTCTGGTAGATTGTTGACTTTCTCACAAAAGGACTCTATAGTAAAACGTCAAATGGGTCCTTGAGTGATTTGTTTCCCCGGTATGTTTTGTATATTAGTAGCTAATTCACTTAATACTGGATAGATCCAGTCTCCAAATCCTCTAGTTCTCAATGGTATTTTAAATCAAGCTAATATTATTACTTAAAACCTAATATTTAACGTTTTTTTTTAAATGCATACTTAAGAAACGGATTTTTTTTATATTTGATTACAGCTTGATTCCACACTGTAATTTTGGTACAAGTATGGAATTTTCAGCATGGATATCCGTAGCCCAAATTTTGCAGGCCGACCGTAGGTATCAGGTGTGCGTCGGCAGGGAATCAAACCTCAGACCATGTGCATGGTCGGCGGGAGTACTAACCACTGCGCCACCGACGCACAGTGGCACTACCTAAATATGCCTTACAAACTAAATAAATCACCATTATGCATTTTATAAAACTAGTGGTGAAGGTGGTGATTCAGCAGTAGTAGGCTCGCCAAGCATCCATGCGGTCCGGCATTCGATTCTCAGCTAGCACACACACCTTTACCTGAACTTACTATATTTAATTGGTGGATGGTGACTAGCAGTGGAATCCAGGGTGAGCATTTCGTCCAATTTGGGACTCATCAGCCACTGGATGTACCTGCATTTACCAGTGAGTGATGATGTTCCCACCGAAGCTCAAACCCAGTACCCAAACATCGTCAAAGCATCTGCTCAAAAAGCCGACATGTCAACCTGAGACCGAGCACTTCGGTCCAATCAATCGACAGGAAAATCTAAAATTCAATTAAATCAATGTGACCCGTTGCACCTCGTGGCCGAAGTGGTATAATGGATAAAACTTTGGCGTTTGAAACTATGTGTACTGGGTTCGAGCCTCGGTGGGAATATCATCATTCACTGAGAAATGCAGGTACATCCAGATGACGAGTTCCAAACAGGACGAATTGCGCTTTGTCCTGGATTCCACTGCTAGTCACCATCCACCAACTAAATACTAACTAAATGCCCAGACATCGTCGAAGCTTCTGCACAAAAGCCGATATGTCAACAACCTGAGACTTCAGTTCAATCAATCGACGGGAAAATCTCAAATTCACTTAACCATAGTCGGTAGTAAGGCCTGACATAGAAGGAAGTTTGAGTGTAAGGCTAGTCACCCAAAACCCTTAAAAAGCTCAAATATGCAGCCCAAAAAATTGTTCCACTGGAACACAAAGGAATAAAATAAAACAAACAATGTTATGTGTTATAAAACTTACCGGTGTACGAAAACAGCTCAGAAGTAAACGCAGTGCTTCATCAACCTCTTGATTACGAAAATCTAATTCTCGAATAAACTGCCTGTAGGAACGTTATGTAATATAAAAATTAAAAATAAAAACAATAATTAATTAGGATGAGTCATTGGAGAAATTTATTACACAAAGACATATATATATATACATATGTCGTTAACATAAAAATAAAAACAGAACATCAGGATCTCATTTCTTCCCCCATATATGTGTATATAACATCATCCCATCATAAACATCAAAACAAAGCTAAATAATTATTGTGACTCATTGACCGTAAAAAGTTAGTGGATTATGTCTGGTAGAAAGTGTCAACAGACGTAGAAATATCAACACCAGCAGCAGCATCGCCACCACCCCCACTACCACCAACAACAACAACAAACCCTGTTGTATGCAATAATTAACACAGCAAAGGATTAAACTTTCACAAACAATATTAATCAGTCTGGTTAAACACAGGTGTGTGTTTACAAAGGGAAAGATAATACGCGTATGGGGGCTTCCGTTTCTATCATTTCTCATATCATAGTTGTATATTAGTGAGAGGATTGCTAATGCCAGTGAAGTAAGTGAACAGCCTTGTTCACTAGCTAAAACATCCCACCCCACATCCACCCGAACCCACGCCTCTTTTGCATTCAACGAGACAAAAACAGACAATTTATTGTAATGCCTACCCAACTCCTCTTCTTTTGTTTTGCATATTTTCTTTGCTTCACTTCATTTCACTTATGTGTTACATAACTAACGCATCTCTTTTAGTGTTGTTACATTTTCTTTCTGCATGAATCATTACAGTATAATGATGAGGAGAGAGTAATGATGCACATTAACACGCTGGATTATGTCGTTAGTTATTTTTTTTACCGTATACAAATACTAAAAGACGGACGACGACATTAAGAGTTTGTTATTCATTCGTACAACATAAAAAACTTGAATTTGGGGAGAAAAGTATTTACCCGCCAAACAAAAATAATAACATTAATAGATGATTTAAACACGGAGAAAAAACACAGAAACATCAAAGTACAATATATTTTTTTGTCTAGTATATATGTGTACACCTTAGTACACAAACACAATTGGGTGTCTCCATAATTGTCCATAGACATAACACTTAGGAATAAATGTCAAAATGAACATAAAATTAGGTTGTAGCAGTAAAAAAAAGTATAAACTGTGATTGTTTATATCGATATTATAACTGTGAATTGATCTGTCCAAATCTCCAAAATATTAATATAAACAAATAATAGGGAGAGTGACAGAGAGTGGAGAGTGAATTCTTAGGAAGTTATAAGAAAATGTGAAATAACCTGTTGTCCAAGACAACGGATGGTATTCAATTCTGTATTCATCGACGGATGGGTCGACACAACCTTGCGTGCATATATTACAAATTGTATTGACAATTCAGTAAGGTTATGAGATAAAGTGTGTGTTAGCGTGTAAAGATTAGATCGAAGTAGACGGATATTCTAGTGCTTAATCCGAAAGCCACTGATTCTAACTGAGATCCTTCAATTAAAGAATCGCGTTTCGGCAGATTCCAGGTGAAAAATAAAAGAATTAGAGACTGACTATGTTCAACTACTGCGTTCCACTTATTTCCAGGTGAGTGAATCACAAAAAGAATCCATTCATACTGATACTCCAGTAAATTGGGAACAACTTGTTCAGCACTCCCTAGCTTTTCAATATTGTCTCTAATTGACCAAATAGGTAACCAATCAAATCGCTGCGAACTGACACTTGATAGTTAGTCTGATGCTCACCAGCGACTGGCTGTATACAGGGAGGAAGTTACCTAGAGCGCTAGTGAACAGTTGCAGTCACCGGGATCAGGTAAGAGAATAGTTAGACCGTTATAACAGTAGCGGAGGGTTGCGCCATAAATAAGTATCTAACGCGAATTGGCAGAAATTTGAATTCATGTGCCACTGAATCAGATCCTAGTAGTCGAGCTCACCTTATAACCGGAAGGTGCTGAGTTCAAACCTAAAAAGAGTGCATACTACTGAAGAGTCCCAAGCTAGGACCAAACAGCCATCCGGTACAACCTGGTTTTCCAGTACTTCTCAAACAGAACTCAGTTCGTGATTAAACTTGGAGTCAATCAAATCCTTGCAACCCAACACTTGACGATTGATTTTTTAAAAGGCGTTGTCAAAAGAGCAAGTTTATTTGAGAAATATGACGAATCGCAATTGGCCACCTCTATTCCATAATTTGCTAATATATTGACTTGATATTCAAGATGCCAGAGATGTACATACACAATTCCGTTCAAAGTAAACTCTGTCTTGACACAATGTTACTTAAATTTTTCATGCTTATGTAGTCATAAACTTTAGACATCGAAAAGACGCGAACGTACCAGTGTCTTTGTAACATGCAGTCAGAAAGGTATTGAATTCACATAAATAACGCTATATTTATGAAAAATAAATTGTTGAATGTAGTGAAATCATACTAAACAGGATATCTGCGAATTTATGTTTGGGAAAGATTAAAGTTAGGTTTACGCTAGGAACAGCTTACAGTTTAGTTATCCTAAATAAGGAGATACTGGGATTGATTCAAAGTAGATTAGGGTTAGTGTTAGAAGACCGAATTTACCTTTCAGTGCCATGGCTCTTTCTAAGATCATTGATGATGTTTGTGCCTCTTTGATGCCTAAATTTTAACTCCCTTACGATAACCAACTACTGAAGAGGGTTATACATTCAACCCAAACTATTGAGTTCTACTCATATCTAGGTGACTGAAGCAAAACGGATTCATTCATCCTAACAATCCTGCAGATTTAAAACAATTGATTTTCTTGGGAATTTATGAATAGTGTTAACAGATAACTAAGTTTACACCTGAAAAATATTTTTCACATCAATCAGCCTCCTATTTCCTTATTTTTATCATAAACCTACCTAAAGAAAATGATTGACAGCTTTGAGTTATACAAGAGATACTTTCATAGACGATACTTTTATTATTTTATTTTTTTATTTTTTATTTTTGATTACAGCTTGATTCCACACTGTATTTTTGATACAAGTAAGGAATTTTCAGCATGGATATCGGTAGCCCGAATTTTGCAGGCCGACCATAGATATCAGGTGTGCGTCGGCAGGGGATCGAATCTCGGACCATGTGCATGGTCGGCGAGAGTCCTAACCACTGTGCCACCGACGCACAATAATGAGGAGAATTTGGAGAACACCCTGGACTTTTTCAGCAGCTGCCATCTTGCTATTCAGTTCACAAGAGAGAAGGATTCTGGTACAAAAATATCTTTTCTAGACGTTCTGATAACAAGACGTAAACAAAATGGGGCACTAGAAAGTTCCATCTACAGAAAGCCAGAATGCGACGGACAGCTCACTTCATTTACATAGATTGGTGCTTCTGTATACAAAACGAAATCTAATCCACTCACTGAGCCCAGAACCCACGACATTTGCAGTCCTGACAATGTGGAAGAGGAGCTGAACACTCTGAAAAGAATTCTCCTTGAAAATAGTAACCCAGAACGTTTTATCGTAAAATGCATGAAGCCCAAACAATTAAAACCAACCAAACTTTCTTCTCCCAAAAAACTTCTCTACTTGAATCTAAAATTCAATGGAGACTCATCACCAGAAATACTGAGAAACCACCTGTTACGCTCATTGAAGAAAACCTTATTCGCGGCTGAACTTCGATCAACTTTTTTCGGAAAACTATTGAGCATTTACCCTGATGGTTTTATAAAAGAGAGAAAATATCACCCACAGCTCTATCCTGGAACACCTGATCGAATTTGGACACCAAGTTAACCTACAAGAGGACTTATATAATACCTGGCAATCGGGCTAAAAGTGTACGAATCAAACTTTTTCACACCACAGAAGTAACTGAAATTCACATGTTGAATCCCCAACAAGAGAAGCTCGTTTAGTCATTAAATTTACAATGGACTTAATCTGTCTTAACAACGCTTACCTATTTTTTATTTTTATTTCTTAATTGTATGATTTTCTTCTCTCACCATCTCCCTCATTCCCTATTAAATTTCTACCCTTTGTCATCACATTTGCTAACTTTAATCTTGTTTTTATTCTAGGTGAATTCTACTCAACCTTGTCAATTATTTTACGTCATTCAATTGACTCATTTAATTTAATTGTAGTTTCTACCCGATTAACACCTACCACATTACGTAACTGGTGACCTAATATACACAATTCTAATGACATATCTTTAAAAGTATTCCTTTTGTTGCCAAGAGAAACAAACTATATATCTTTGCTATAGTACGTCATGAGAATGATGTCACTGAAAAGAGTGACTCTTTGCTGAACGATCTTTTCTTCATAAACTGACATGAAAATGAGAACGCCAGAACTATGTGTCTACATAAACAAAATATTGGTAAAAAAAAACTTAGTCTCTACTACAATGCATCCTGAATTTCATGCATATATGGTAGTAAAATCAAACAGAATACATCCCAAGAGGTCGCTTTACGATATTATAGAAAATATCCCACTGTAATACATCGTTTATAGGAAATACATTAGACGTATGGAATTCTTGAGGAAGGGGTTAAAATTTGCCACACACACACACATGTGTATAACAAACGTAACCACTTCGACAGCTCGACAGCCTACTTGACAGCGAAATACAAAATCTTCAAAAGGTTAGCTGTCAATATCAACCGTTTACTGACATTCATTCAATAATTTTTAAGACCGGAGACAACTTCTCATAAAAAAAGACATTTCTACAACGGAAGTAGTAGTATTCGAAATAAAGCATCAGTCACTAATTGTCAATGTCTTCAGATGACTGACAGTTTCAACAAGTTAGTTTGTATAAAGATACCATTACTGATTAGGAAAATCATACACATTACAATCGTATGGCTCAACACTCTCACCCACATCACAACACAACACAACATCTGAACAGACACATTTAAGAATAATAGAGGTGAAACAGATAGTGAATATGTGACAATTTGATTTTCCCGATAGCTAACTGAATTCACCTAAGACTTATACAAATACAAACATGCATACACACACACAGGGTTGATATAATAAAGAAAGAACTTATCGACTACTCCTCATAGATGTATGTATTGTGTGAATAATATATACACTATCAACACATCACGAAAACACTGTCATAAAAAAACCATGAATCATCATCATCAGTGTAATAATGCAGCATCACTGAGGAGAGAGAGAGAGAGAAAACGGTAATCTTTCTAACTGGGTTACTTTTTTTAATGACCTTTACCATAAATATTCTTTTCATTAAAAATCTTTATTCACATGATCACGATATCACAAGAATATCATGTCACATTCATATGATAAGAACATCTCAACCAAATAATAAAAATGATTTTGAAATAGTAATACTGATAATTGAAAAAAAAAGAATCCTGATAAGTGGAGGTGACAAAGTTATTTCAGCTTTCATCATGGATTGATAGCAATTAGAGAAACAGGTAAAGCCAGAGAGAGAGAGAGAGTAATGGATAGCTGTTTAGCCATAGTTCAGGACTCGTCTGTATCCACCGGGGTTCAAAGCCAGAAAAAGGCAAGCTCGTAGGCGATTCAGCCACTGGGGTGCGACTCAACAACCTATGAATTTTAACTCCTAACAATGCGTGATTCTAAAGCGACCATCAGCAGATGTTATGCGGAAATGTTAGATTTTCGTCACGAAATAACATCAGTTAAAGAGATCACTGAAAACTAAGGAGCACTGGATAACTGTTTCGTCTTATTCTATGACTCTTCATCAGTGCGCACCCACGAGCCCACCAGGTATCAAACCAGACCTTTACGTTATGAGACCACTGGGGCTTGTTTCAACGGCCCACGAATTCTGACTTCTAACAATTCATGATTTCACCGCGACCATCAATAAATGTCATCGACGAGTATGTCCCCACTACCGCAGGTACTTGATTCAAACCACAGTGGGTCAGTAATGTCTATGAGTTCCAAACTAGGACGAAACAGCTACCTATCCAATACTCCCTGTTGGTTTTCAATGTTCCGTGATCAGACTAATCAAATCCCTTCAAACTAAGGCCTAGAAATAATAAAAAACTTTATGTCAATGACTTAATACTGACCACACGCAAATCTCCTAGAGATCAAAACATTTTTTTACAAAAAAGGTTATAAATCCATTGAACTTCAAAAACGAAACCCTAAATTTGTGACTTTTTGATCGTGATTAACACCCAATTGGAGGTTATTAAATAAATAAATTCAAGTCAATTGAAAAAAAAACAGATTTGGAATGATTTCAACAAAATGTTACAATCATGTTCTTTTCCTTTATATGTAAGTGTAGAGGTCACCATTATAGTTTAACCTTTAGTCAACAAAAAGAGTGAACTGCTGTCCATTGTCTGTCTAGTAAACAAAAATAATAACAATGTCACATTTATATTTTGATTAGAAGGTAGGTATGCATTAACCTTTAAAAAATAAATAGCACACAGAAGGATAACATCTTATCAGAGGACAACAATGCACCTTTTTCCATCATACCACCGCCAACAATCAAGACGTATATATGTAAAAACACTCAGTAAAAAGTGTAAATAAACAACGGTTTGGATAGAATAAGATGATATCACAGCCTCAAGTAGATCGGCAGAGAAATTCTTAACGTACTTACACAGTTTTGCAGGTGATGTCTGTTAACAAGAGACTTCAGAAATCATAAAGATAAGTTGGTGGTAATCTATTACTACTAATACTATCCAGTTCCGTAATAATGTGGTCAGTTCAGACAAAATAAAAGGGAAGGGTTTAAAGCGAAAGATTATGTAATCAAGTGGAAAAAAAAAAAGAGTTAATAAATCAAGTTACCAAGGCAAAGAATCTTTTTATATTCTGAACAAATAAGTAAGGACTTTACACACGTTTGAAAGAAACTGCTTCGGCACACTTCAATTATACTATCTACTGATAATTTTAGACAATTTCAAAATATCGACTAGATGACGGAGATTTTAACAGATGTCTAACAATAGAACTGTTGAAACCCTCAGTTCCCTTAAGACTTCGACTTCCCAGTACACGTTCAAAAAGTCTAAGATGTGCATTTTTTTTTAAAACTCGTACGCAGCTGACGAGAAGCCGGGAACAAAATATGACATCATCTTATTGGGATAAAATCGTTGTTTTGGCTTCATTTAAACTGATAAACAGTGTGTTAGTATATGAACTTAGAAAAGAAAAACGAAAATATATTTGCAAAGCATTTTATTATTCCTTTATGTTCCCAGTGGAACATAGGGTTTCAAGTCCCAGCTTTGAATTTTCCACGACACTGGTGTTTATTCTTACGGGATGGGGTTGCTAGCCTCATACCCAACCTTCCCTCTTCACTAGTCTTACTACTGGCTTAGTGAGATAAAGGAGTGCCTCGTCGGCCGGAGATCGAACCCTGAACCAATTGAGGCGTAGGTTGAAGAGCATTCTACTGCTGTGCTACCGATACACACTTACAAAGCGACATACATATACATATTATTCAGAGCAAAAGTTTAACTTACTGTGTTGTCAATTTAGCCAGTTCATTTTTTGTATTCCCCAGGTAATCACCTATTGCAACACGACTCAGGCCTTTACGAGTAAGCAGAAAACGTGCAACCAATTGAGGAGAATTTTCCAAAAATCCATTTTTTATAAGGAAATCAATGCCTTTTACAGGGGATCTAAAAGAAAAAATTGTGGAATGACAGTTACACTTATTAGTAATATTATTATTATGAAACATTATTTGACGTTGAATTATCTTCATAAATTATCATACACACACACACACAAGAGGAATCTACAAAACCAATCAAAGAGCTGTAATATATCTATTACACTTGCAATCGGTCTTCAGCGCGTAGTTCCTTGGTTCGAATCCCACCCGAATCACCTTATCCTACAAAATTGAATAGTATCACTAAACCCCATTCAATAGTTATGTGGTTCATAGTCTGAACCGACTTTAATCAGGTCAAACACACACACACACACATGCAAACAAAAAAAGTACATTTCAACGAAAATAAAATCTACTTAAAATACGAACAAAATGATTATAAACATATTTTTAAGTGTCATTTGAAATTGAGATCAACTTTGTGATTTAAAAAATAATAATAAGCAGGAAACGTGATCAAAATTAATATACACACACAGGAAAACAAATGCCATTGCATGACCTTATTAAAATGTACTAAAATGTTCATGAAAAATATAAAACACCACAATTTCGAAGTATTTAAAACACAGCTCCACTTCAGATATCCATATATGGTGTATTTCAGTATATTATGTGACATGAAATAACTGCAAGCCAGAAAACATGCGGTTGCATCATAGGTCCGTGCACCTACTACCCTGTGCCACTTAGATATTGTCTTATAGATTCATGAGTAAGGGACTTAGTGTTGAAATGCAAAGGTTCTAATGCATAACATCTCTTTGAAAAGCACATTTTGTATTGTACAAAGACTGGTGAGACTTAATGCACTTGAACTTAAAAAGCCATGACTGTGAGTAAGGCTGAATATCAGAATAGCAGTATAGAGGAAAGGCACACAAATCCACAGTAAGTGCTGCTCTTACTTCTGACGTGGCCAGTCATGCTCTATCTCTCCGTTATATTTTTGATGTAATTCCTGAACTAGGCAAATACCTCTAATGCTGTAGACTACAATTCTAGACATTTCAAAAGTCAAATATGTGAATATATTTAGCACAAGGAAATTAATTAATTGTACTCAAACCAACACTTACTTGTTAAATATATTTAAGCCTATACGATAAGTTCGTTTTCTGCGTTTCTCTTGAGCACTGGGTATCCTTATTAGACATGGATTTTTGAAGCCATAAGGATTAACCAAAGACGATGGAATTGCCTGATTTGGTATAGTGTATGGAAAATAGGAATGATGTAGGCGTAAACGACACGAATTTGTAGGATCAATATGTGGACATTGATTTCGACAAGACATATGATTTGGATGATGTCGTTGAAATGACTCATTATTATTAGTACTATTATTATTATTATTTAATTTTAAAGATTCCATTTGTTGTGTAGGGACAATCAATGAGGCTGTTGTTGGCATTATATGCCTTGAATTGAAGTGTAATAATCCAGTGTTCAAAGGCGGACAAGATGGAACTATAGACGGTGGTGTTTTGCATACTTTACTAATAGGATAAGATATAACTGCTGGACATGGGTTACTATTGCACGGAGGAACCATAGTGGTATTCCGGGAGGCAGGTAAACAAACCAAAGTTGGAGATTTATTGGATGTAATAGAGCCCATGGTAGGGAAACACATGCAATATGGACAGGTGTTTTGAATACTTCGATGATTCGGTATCCGGGTGGGTAAACAGCATTTTTGAAAACAATGTCCATTGTGCGTGGAAGAATCTATTTCAGTCGGAGAAAGTACTTGTGCTTTAGGAATGCTTTCATTACAAACGTAATGGTTAAAATTAGTCTGATGAGAACTACAACAACAGCAACAACAACCTTCACACGAATTGTTCACATTCAATTTTAAATATGGATTGAAATTATGCAATGGAGGACTGTTTAATTGTGTTTGAAGATTAGTTAGCTGTCTACCTGAATTATTCTCAATATTTCGCCTAGATGATTGGATGTTGTTGTCAAATTGCACTGATGAATTAGGTACTGAAGATCGTGAGAAATCCTTTTTATTTACATGTGACTCGACAATATCAGGAGATAAGTACTTGTTACTCATAATATTAGAAACGTCAGGAGATTGTGAGACAGATTTCGTATGAGATTGTTGCCACTGAGAACAGTACTTGGCATCTTTGTCATCCGCTAGATATGTACCATCCAGCAATGAGTTATTCGATTCAATTTCATTGACAGTAGCCTCCAGAGACCAATCCATATATGCCCGATCAATAACTAGATCATCTACATCATACAAGCGACCAGACTTTAGACAACTTCTTCCACTACTGTCATCCATTGATAACTGATTAGATTTGTCTTTATTTTGAACAGTAACCTCTGAGGTTTGCACCTCAGTGTTACGATTATTACCTTTGACAAATCTTAGTCGTGCATATTCTGCTCTCAAACGATAGTCTCTATAAGCGTTTTGAATAATTCTTGCTGCACGTTGTGCTCTCAATCGACCACCATAATAATGTTCAATACGTTCTACTTCTTTATCAGAACCGTCACCTAATTCATAGCAAATATTTGGAAGATCCACATGATAAGGTAACATGTTGTATTTGAAATGATCATTGACAGTGGATGATTCATTCGGATTCATAGATGATTCTGTGTTGATTAAACTACAATCACGTGAAACAACATTACGATTAGATATGATAAAAGGATGATTATCTGAAATGAGATTGGATTTCAATCTTCTAGGTTCATGATTATGATAAGTATGAAACTTCATGCATCCAAAAGATGCATCCGATGTTTCTTGACCATTCGTGAATGAACATAAACAATGTGGATTTACACAAGAAGACTGGAAGATATCCAATGAGTCAGCGGAGACAATATGTTTTTGACAAAGGAGCTTTTAACAAGTGGATCTTGAAGCATATGCTCTGTACTTAGAGAGGATGAACGTAAAGAATTCGATTTGAACTGGCTAGTTGGACATTGTACTTCTTCTTTACAACTAAAATATTAATTTAAAAATTTTTATAATAATTTGCTATGCATACTAAGACATTGTTTAAGCTTGGGAAACCATGAATTACAATAAATAGGACATGGCTTATCACACTTAGACAGAATAAACTATATGACCAAGGTCGTATCTAATGTACCGATGTTAGAACTAGACTGGACAATTATTATTAGTCTAGAAGGTCAGCAAATACCATTCATTCTTAAATCAACATACATGTTAATATAAATTCACTATTTATAAAACATCCTAATGTGTAGAGACGCACTTTCAACTATTAATGAAAACAAGAATGTTGAAAACCACTTCAAAGTTGGTAAAGGATTGTCTTAGCCTACAAACAAGACGAACACGGCATGAACACACTTGAAAATAATTTTTCTTATAACAGACAATTTTTGACGCATTCTGTGGTGAACGGCCAAATCAACTTCTTACAGAAATAAATTCAGATAAAATATGTGACGCATCGGTATGAAGAACAAGTAGTCCTTGCAATGTTTGTCTAACATTTTCGATTTGTGACTTTGTAAGACGAACAAAATTAGAGATATTTGGCTGTATTTCCTTTGTCTAACAGTATTATTAGACAAATCAGACCATTTGAACAAGGTAAATACTCACATACACACAGGACCATATGAGGAAATTAATAAATCAATAGACACAGTTATGAATAAAATTAAGAAATCCACAGCGGACCTTATACGCCGAATGAAGCCGTTTCTAGGTGAGTCTATATGGCTTTATTTAATACCCAAAACTTAACCCCAGTAGGATGTATGGTGTTGTCAAAGTTTATAAATCAGGATACCCTATTAGGCCTTTTAGAAATTCACCTACTTATAAATTATCTAAATATTTAGCCATGGTATTAAATCCCCCTAAAAAGCCACTCGAAATCTAGACTAACCAATTCTTATGGACTAAAACACAGATTAGATTATTTAAAATTAGATAATGAAGAAAAAATGGTTAGTTTTGACATTATCAGTTTATATACACGTATACCAATAAATATGGCTATAGAGGCAATCAGAAACGAACTCATTTCTGACCAAGAACTCGAACTTAGGACAAAAGTGCCACTTGAGAACATATTGCTGGGAGTACAGCTATCCCTGACTTCCACAGTATTTAAATTCCAAGGGAAAATATACAAACAAACTCAGGGATTTGCTATGGGATCACCAATATCCCTGGTTGTGGCAGATATATTCATGGATAGGTGGGAAAACATAGCGATTGAAACGTTCACCCCACCCAAAAGTATGGTTGGTGGAGGTATGTAGATGACACATTCACTGTACTTAGAACAAAAGATATAGATAGATATTTGTTTGTAATTTACTGAATTTCAAAGTTTTATAAAATTGACTCGGGAAGGGGATGATTTTTATTACATAATGAATCTTTACCTTACTTAATAAAAAACTTTATATAATAAAAGAACACATTGGGGTTATCATAAATTCAAAGGAAATTTTAGCTGAATTAAGATGCTATCTTCGATTCTCAACACCACGGTATTTCTACAATTATGCGGTGGAATTTTCTACATTGATGAGATGTATGTAAGCTACAGACTGCATCGATGGATTATACTGGTGCATAAATTGGTGGTAACAAAGATAATCGCTGCAATAATTCATACTAAGATTCCATCGATTAATGATTACTCCTAGTCACATACAGTTAACACATAAGTGATGATAATTACCACACGATTACTCAAATATTAATATTCTCACACTGTCTACTTTGTAGGACATTTATCAGCGGGAAAAAATCTAATTAACGCGAGGATCTCGATGTCGGTACTCATTGCTACTATGGACGACTTATATTCAGTGTTATTTAATATAGTTTCATCAATACATAGAAAAAGGATATAGAGCAACACTAAGATTTTGCAGAAGTGTAAATATAAACTACATCCTTCACTTTTTTGAGAACGTCCATCACTCTGGCACAGAAGTTTTTAAAATGCCTAATGCGAAGTGGTATCTCAAACATAAAGTTTGTCGGAAAGTAGATTTTTATGAGTACGAAAACTAGATTTCTTAACTGGAAAACCTACTTTCTAGATATTAGGTATAAAAAAAGTTCCCGCCGGTAGTTATATTACTCATCACGAGTGTATAGTGTGGAAAAACCGAAGTTATACAAAGGCTGATTCCATCATAAAAGCCGTAAGACCATTTGATTTATGCTACTATATGTTATATGAATAGGGAAAATGCTACAAAAACATCTATGGAAAAATACCCCTCTATGATAAATGTCAAAAAAAATAATAACACTGTGAGTACATACCTTGAGAATAATTGTTCTGAACAATCACTAGAATAATGTAAACTTGAAAATTTATTAACATTTTCAATATTCCAATTCGATGTTTCATCTTCTGTTGAAGTATGCTGATTAGCACGACTAGCACATGAATAATCCATTTTACATTGACTTAAAGTTCCAGGGATATTTTTAGTATTATAATAATTATCATAACTACAACCACATCTCTCAGTTTTTGATGTCATTCCCCTTAAAGATTAGCTTTTTACATTATGAGACGTTTATATATCATTTTAGCCTATCATAAAAACAGATGCCATCGGACAGGTTGTGTGAATAGTCAATTTGGCTTTCCTATTGGTTGAAAAAGGCTAACACAAACTAAGCCTATTAGATTCGATATTTTTTGTTAAAAAAATAAGAACAGGCATTGATTTAGAATAAAATGACTATCGATTGTAGCCGTCTAGCAAACAAGCTAGGTGGACGAATAATAAGTAGACATTGTCTGCCAATCTATTTTTCTCATAGGCTCAGGCCTAGGGCCACGTGAAGAATGACTCACACTGGGAGGGTTAGAGCAAGCAACTATCAAGGTTATACCACTAATGCCATGCCTATAGCAATTTCAACCAATGAGTGAAGGCAAACGTTTTAACCAATCATAATCAAGAGTCTGTTATGTTGGCACGTCAACAATAGGCAAAATGTGATTAAGAGAATATAGGGATATAATAATAGAGATTGCCTCCCAGTTCCTTATAGAATATATGATTAACTTTCGTTCCAAAAACTCTCTAGATGAAAGGTTTTTTTTAAAAATATTTTCAATATAAGGAAATAATATTATTCTCAGCATAAATTTGAGTCTGTAGTTAGTGTGTAAATTTAACTGCTATTACCTGAGTGAATATTAGTTAACTAGAATGAGGGCGATATGGAGGATATAGAGAAAGAAGGGAACGAATGCTTATGGGCAATCGTATACCCAGTTAGGAAAGCCTTTAGGAAACAAAGTGAAATGGAGATGCGCTGTTGCATCCCTATGTTTTTTTTTTATTTACAGCTTGATTCCACACTGTATTTTTGGTACAAGTATGAAATTTTCAGCGTGGATATCGGTAGCCCAAAATTCGCAGGCCGACCATAGATATCGGGTATGCGTCGGCGTGGGCTCAAACCCCGGACCATGTGCATGGTAGGCGAGGATCCTAACCACTGTGCCACCGACGCACCACTCGGAACCCGAGGAGGCAATAAAATAATAATAATTTGCCTCATTCGAAACCAGTACTTGTGATACAGAATGGAATTCTCACCATTTCACTACAGTATTGCATCCAGTTACTACATTAACAATATATAAAATTCTACAAAGATTAAGGGTAATATCAGTTAGTTTTGACAACAACATATTGGTATATTGGTAGCATAGCCAAAAATTGAACAGGGTGTTTGAAGGTGTTAGAAAAGTAGATGGTAGCATATTTACTAGCGTAAGTGGTAACAAAAGGTCGAGACATACAGAGTGTGAAGGAACGAAGAAGAATGCTTTAAGTAGAGTTTGTAAGGAAGAAAGAAAAAAAGAAGCACGTCATAGAAAAAAAAAGAGTAAAGGAAAAGAGAGAAAGAAAACGTCGTACCTATAAATGATATAAGTTGGAAAGACGAGAACGAATTGTTCTACTGACTATTTAATAAGTTATAGGTATCACGCTTAATGCTTTCTTTATCGCACAGAACATGAGCTAAGCAGGATATGGTTGAGTTTTTGTACTCACTAGTGCGAGCATATAGTTTTCTATATAGGCTTCTGAATCTGAGATACAAGGGTAGAATTGTGAATGAAGAGGGTTGTGTAATTTAGATAGAATGAATTTAGCCCATTTTCCACATGAGTCCAAGTACCTGTCGTCCAGAATATTAACGAGCTGGTTAAGTGGCACGTTGATTACCCTGCTGACAACCTTTAACATCCTACGTAATAAGGTAAAGTCTTTCTTCATTAGCCGTGGAAAAACTAAGGGGGAACAATAGAGAATAATAGGCAGAATGAGAGCGTTAACGAATTGTGGGAGTAAGGGTTGGGTTGGGTTATTCCAGAATATCTTAACTTCTTGATGTAGAAGGTAAGACGGAATATTTTCCTAGAAATCATCAAGATATGTAACGACCAGGAAAAAATCAGCTGATAGAATGACACCAAGATAATTAATTTCCGACTTGGTCTTGAAGTCTTGGTCGGTGGCACAGTGGTTAGGACTCTCGCCGACCATGCACATGGTCCGGGGTTCGAGCCCACGCCGGCGCACACCTGATATCTATGGTCGGCCTGCAAAATTTGGGCTGATTAAAAGGAGAAAAAAAAAATTTCAGTGCCATCTACATTACACACCTCGTGAGTGCTAACCATTTTGTTTAGGTCAGTGGGAAAAAATTGAGAGAGCTTACTTCCTTCACTTATCTAGACAGCAATATTTCATCCACTGGCGGGACGGGTAAAGATATCAGAGCCAGAATCGGAAATGTTTAGGCACACCTTCATCAATGTGAAATCGGTCTGGAAATCTTCTGCACACAGCGTAAAGAACAAGATTCGGATTCTGTTCAACACAAATGGGAAGTCAGTCAGTAATTTCTTCTATACGCGTCAGAAATTTGCACTGCGTAGCACAGAAAGGATTTCCAGCAGGCTGCCGCGGACTTTTATCAACAGCTGCCTTCACTGGCTCCATAATGCAGATGAGATGGTCAGTAAGAGAAACTGTGGGAGTGAACCAACCGAGAAACTATTGCTAAACAAATATGTAGGAGAAAATAGGGATGGATTGGGCATACGCTGAGGAGATAGCTGGGTTACACCGCTTATCAGGCCATCGCCCAAGTATAAACCAAATGCAGAATAACAAGTGTGGTAGAAGACAGGGATATGGAGGAGACCGTGAGATGAGGAGGAGATAAGAGACCATGGGTAATTGTGAGCCCAGATAAAGAGGAAAGCAAGAAATAGAACAAAGTGGTGATGTGCTGTTGAAGCCCTATGTTCCACTCGGAACCCAAGGGAACAATAATATAACGATAATTAGATATATGCTTATTTCTGCCTACTATGAATAGAAACCAGGAGTGTGAATCGCTTTCAGTCGAAAAAGCAGATTCTAACCAATCCAGTATAAAACATTTTAAAACAAAACAGATTTTTACAACGTATGGAATCATACTGTAATTATTAACGGAATTATTCGGCAAGTTCCTTTAAATAAAACTAACCTTAAAGACAAAAGTGGATATTTTCCATCCATATCTTTCTTATTAATACCTTATGCTAATAAATACCGACCGTGATTATGTTGATTGTTAAAGTTGTTGAAGTCTGATAGTGGAGAGTGAGTATACACCCTTTCTTGAATACTTTAGTGGATGATTACTCATCATGGATACTCTGTATTTAGAAATTTTAAGGCTTAACTCTCTCAAGCTGTAATCAAAATTAAAATTTAAATTAAATTAAATTCTTTATAATCGTTGCAGATAGGCGTAATTACTGAAGAAATTTTTATTTTATTTTAACAGTAAGCGTTTTATTCTGAAAAATCTTCATATAATCCACAGAATTTCAGCGGATTTTATTGAATGATATTTTCTCTTCGTCTAGGGTCTTCAAATAATGGATTTGATTGAACAAAGTGACAAATGTGACACAGTCTTATCTGACCTGAAGCGAAAATCAATCCACTATGATACCGCTTCTTTCTCTCATTCGAGAAGTGCACGACTTTTTGTTGAACCCTAAATAGAAGTTTATTATTATTTATTATTATTATATCCTTTAATACCCAGAGGAACATAGAGCTTCAGCCGCGCGTCTCCATCGCGTTCGGTTTTCTGCCAATTTTTTCACCCCGCTCCAAGTTTGCCCAAACGCTTTCATTTCATCTTCACATGACCTCCTCCATGTCACCTCACCCTTGCACTGACGACCAACTAGCCGCTTCCCTTTCGGGTTCCAATCGAGAGATGGCTTGTCTAGTGATGACACTTGATGGTTTCCTCAGAGTATGGCCAGCCAATCCATCTCCATTTCTTCCTCCTTGTTTGTTTCACAATCAATTCTTGGTTGGTTCACTCATTGCCAGAGATCCCTGTTGGTGATCTTTTCTGGTCGGCCATCTGATCTTGAGTAGTATTGAGCGAAGACAACTGTTAATGAAGGTCTGAAGTTTGTTTGAGATGCTCTTTGTGACGCGCTGGTCAAGTCTCTGATCCGTAAAGTAGCACTGACTGACTTCACATTGGAGTTAGAAATCCGAATCTTATTTTTCATGCTGAATCAGTCATGTTGACCTCCACACAGGCTTGAGGGAATTGAAAGCTTAACTTGCTTTCCCAATACTCGCTTTGATATCTTAATCATTTCCGTCCGCCTATAGTTGAAACGATGCTCCCCAGGTAGGTGAAGGAGGTTGTTTCTTTCAGGTTCCTCCCATTTATGCTGATTGTTGTCTATTATTATTGTTGCTGCTGTTGTTGGTCAAGAGTCTTCATCACCTGTGTTTTCTCTACGTTCACCTGAAGTCCTATACTTGATGCTTCTCCTACTATCAACTCGTTGCTTTTCACTTGCATATCTTCCAGTTTGTCGGAAATCAGAGAAGTTCAGATTTTCAAAGTTTTGGTGTGGATCCATTTTAAGCCTGTCTCCTCGTTGCCCGCCAACTGTCGGTCTGTCATATTATGCAGTCTACCGCATGCAGGAAAATCATTGAAGATAGTAGGCAGTCAGCCAGCCAGTCTTGTCTTACTCCTGTCTTCACTTCGAAGGATTCCGTGAGTTTCCCTTGTCGATTACTTTGTATGCAACATTATCCTACAAAACTGTTGAATGAGGTGAATAACTGTTGGCGGCACCCGTTGGTAGTAGCTAACTAGTTTTCAAATCACCTCTCGATCAATGCTGTCGAAGGCCTTTTCAAAGTCAATGAAGTTGAGTGAAGTAGAGAGATGACTGCCATTCCACGCTTTGTTCAACAATGATCCGTAGAGTGGCGATTTGATCAATACACGACTTGTTTCTCCTGAATCCAGCTTGTTCCGGTTGAAGTTTTTCATCCAGGGCTTGTTTGATTCTCTCCAGGATGATTCGGCTTAGTATTTTGCTTGGCATGGACAGGAGTACATTTTTTGAACTAAGAACATCACTCAGGGATGGTCATCTCATACATTGGGATAAGCTGCCTTCGAAGAT